GGAAATGTTGAGTGAATGTATGGGGGGTTTTGAACCAAGTATGAGAGTACTTGTGGTTGGGGATTTTCAATGCTAAAGTGGGCAAAAATGTTGTGGAGGGAGTAGTAGGTAAATTTGGGGTGCCAGGGGTAAACAAAAATGGGGAGCCTTTAATTGAGCTATGTGGGGAAAGAGGTTTCGTAATAAGTAATACATATTTTATGAAGAAGAGGATAAATAAATATACAAGGTATGAAATAGCATGTAATGAAAGTAGTTTGTTAGATTATGTATTGGTGGATAAAAGGTTGATGGGTAGGCTCCAGGATGTACACGTTTATAGAGGGGCAACTGATATATCAGATCATTATTTAGTTGTAGCTACAGTTAGAGTAAGAGGTAGATGGGAAAAGAGGAAAATGGCAACAGCAAGCAAGAGAGAGGTGAAAGTGTATAAACTAAGGGAGGAGGAAGTTCGGGTGAGATATAAGCCACTACTGGCAGAAAGGAGGGCTGGTGCAAGTATGAGTAGTGGGGGGGTTGAAGAGGGTTGGAATAGTTTTAAAAATGCAGTATTAGAATGTGGGGCAGAAGTTTGTGGTTATAGGAGGGTGGGTGCAGGAGCAAAGAGGAGTAATTGGTGGAATGATGAAGTAAAGGGTGTGATAAAAGAGAAAAAGTTAGCTTATGAGAGGTTTTTACAAAGCGGAAGTGTTATAAGAAGAGTAGAGTATATGGAGAGTAAAAGAAAGGTGAAGAGAGTGGTGGAGAGTGCAAAAGGAGAGCAGATGATAGAGTGGGAGAGGCACTGTCAAGAAATTTTAATGAAAATAAGAAAAAATTTTGGAGTTAAACAAGTTAAGAAAGCCTAGAGAACAAATGGATTTGTCAGTTAAAAACAGAGTAGGGGAGTTAGATGGGGAGATGGAGGTTTTGGGTAGATGGCGAAAATATTTTGAGGACCTTTTAAATGTCGACGAAGAAAGGGAAGTGGTAATTTCATGCAATGGCCAGGGAGGTATACCATCTTTTATGAGTGAAGAAGAACAGGATGTGAGTGTGGGGGAGGTGCGTGAGGCATTACGTAGAATGAAAGGGGGTAAAGCAGCTGTAACTGACGGGATCATGACAGAAATGTTAAAAGCATGGGGGGATATAGTGTTGGAGTGGTTGGTCTTCTTGCTTAATAAATGTATGAAAGAGGGGAAGGTACCTAGGGATTGTCAGAGAGCATGTATAGTCCCTTTATATAAAGGGAAGGGGGACAAAAGAGATTGTAAAAATAATATAGGAATGAGTTTACTGAGCCCTAGGTAGTAGGTTGGTAGACAGCAATTGCCCAGGGAGGTACTACCATCCTGCAAAGTGAGTGTAAAATGAAAGCCTGTAATTGTTTTACATGATGGTAGGATTGCTGGTGTCCATTTTTCTGTCTCGCAAACACGCAAGGTTTCAGGTACGTCTTGCTACTTCTACTTACACTTAGGTCACACTACACATACATGTACAAGCATATATATACACACCCTGCTGGGTTTTTTCTATTTTCTTTCTAGTTCTTATTCTTTTTTATTTCCTCTTATCTCCATGGGGAAGTGGAACAGAATTCTTCCTCCGTAAGCCATGCATGTTGTAAGAGGCGACTAAAATGCCGGGAGCAAGAGGCTAGTGACCTCTTCTCCTGTATATATTACTAAATGCAAAAGGAGAAACTTTCGTTTTTCCTTTTGGGCCACCCTGCCTTGGTGGGATATGGCTGGTGTGTTGAAAGAAAGAAAGAAGTTTACTGAGTATACCAGGAAAAGTGAACGGTAGGCTATAAATTGAAAGAATTAGAGGTAAGACAGAATGTAGGATTGCGGATGAGCAAAGAGGCTTCATAGTGGGTAGGGGCTGTGTAGATCAAGTGTTTACATTAAAGCATATATGTGAACAGTAGTTAGATAAAGGTAGAGAAGTTTTTATTGTAGTTATGGATTTAGAAAAGGCATATGATAGAGTGGATATGGGAGCAATGTGGCAGATGTTGCAAGTATATGGAATAGGTGGTAAGTTACTAATTGCTGTAAAGAGATTTTATGAGGATAGTGAGGCTCAGGTTAGGGTGTGTAGAAGAGAGGGAGACTACCTCCCAGTAAAAGTAGGTCTTAACCCCTTCAGGGTCCAAGGCCCAAATCTGAAGTGGTGCCCCAGTGTCCAAGAATTTTCAAAAAAAAAATTTGTTTTTTTTTCTTATGAAATGGTAGAGAATCTTTTTGTGAAGGTAATAAAACAAAAAGTACAAAATTTGATGGAAAATTGATGAAATTATGCTCTCGCGAATTTTGATGTGTCAGCGATGTTTACGAATCGGCGATTTTGCCGACTTTGACTCCCATTTTAGGCCAATTACATTATTCCAGTCAACCAAATTCTTAGCTATTTCACTAGTATTACTTCTATTCTATCGATTGAGCACAAGAAATTGATAAGTCAACTGTTTCAACTACAAATTAAAGTCATCAGAAATTGTTAATTTGGCCAATTTAACACAAAGTTCAAAATATTCCAATTTCAAAATAGGGTCCAGAATAAACAATGTAGGTATTCCTGGAACTAAGCTTACATTTCCTCTGTTCATTAGTTATGTTTTGAGGCTTTACAAATAAATTCCATTTTGATTTTTTATTCACACCAAAAAATAGAAGATTTACTGTTATGCAATACTGTAATAATTGTATAAATATCATCACCATATTTGTGAATGCATATTAGACCCACCAGCTGGCGTGTATTAGACGTGTGAGGTCGTTTGTTTACTCTTGAATATCGGCAAAAATTTAACATTTCTGCTACTTTGAGCTCAGTTTCAAGCCATTTCCAGTGCTAAAACCAATCAAAATCATCTCTATTTCTGTAATATGTCTTCCATTCTATCAAATGAGACCAAGAAATCGCAAATAGAACTATAAAAAACATACGAAAAAACACAGCAAAGTCGCTGTTTTAATCGAAAAATCATGATTTCAGTTTTTTTCTCTCATTATACACAGCGTGCTGCAGGATCTGTTTTATGTGGTGCACACATACCACATAGATGTATTCTCTCATATCTAGGCCCAAATGTACCACTCACAGTTTATCAGAGTGAGCTGAGCTCATGACGTAGATCTACGGTTTGGACCCTGAACATAAAGCCGTAGATCTATGGGACGGACCCTCAAAGGGTTAAACAGGAATGTGTAATATCACCACAGTTGTTTAATATATTTATAGATGGGTTGTAAAAGAAGTAAATGCTAGGGTGTTCAGGAGAGGGGTGGGATTAAATTACGGGGAATTAAATACAAAATGGGAATTGACACAGTTGCTTTTTGCTGATGATGCTGTGTTTATGGGAGATTCTAAAGAAAAATTGCAAAGGTTAGTGGATGAGTTTGGGAGTGTGTATAAAGGTAGAAAGTTGAAAGTGAACATAGAAAAGAGTATGGTGATGAGGGTATCAAATGATTTAGATAAAGAAAAATTGGATATTAAATTGGGGAGGAGGAGTATGGAAGAAATGAATGTTTTCAGATATTTGGGAGTTGACATGTCAGCAGATGGATTTATGAAGGATGAGGTTAATCATAGAATTGATGAAGGAAAAAAGGCGAGTGGTGCATTGAGGTATATGTGGAGACAAAAAACGTTATCTATTGAGGCAAAGAAGGGAATGTATGAAAGTATAGTGGTACCAACACTCTTATATGGGTGTGAAGCTTGGGTTGTGAATGCAGCAGCGAGGAGGCGGTTGGAGGCAGTGGAGATGTCCTGTCTAAGGGCAATGTGTGGTGTAAATATTATGCAGAAAATTCGGAGTGTGGACATTAGGAGAAGGTGTGGAGTTAATAAAAGTATTAGTCAGAGGGCTGAAGAGGGGTTGTTGAGGTGGTTTGGTCATTTAGAGAGAATGGATCAAAGTAGAATGACATGCAGAGCGTATAAATCTGTAGGGGAAGGAAGGCGGGGTAGGGGTCGTCCTCGAAAAGGTTCGAAGGAAAGGGTAAGGGAGGTTTTGTGGGGAAGGGGCTTGGACGTCCAGCAGGCGTGCATGAGCATGTTCGATAGGAGTGAATGGAGACGAATGGTATTTGGGACCTGATGATCTGTTGGAGTGTGAGCAGGGTAATATCTAGTGAAGGGATTCAGGGAAACCGGTTATTTTTGTATAGCCGGACTTGAGTCCTGGAAACGGGAAGTACAATGCCTGCACTCTAAAGGAGGGGTTCGGGATATTGCCAGTTTGGAGGGATATGTTGTGTATCTTTATACGTATATGCTTCTAAACTGTTGTGTTCTGAGCACCTCTGCAAAAAACAGTGATAATGTGTGAGTGAGGTGAAAGTGTTGAACGATGATGAAAGTTTTTCTTCTTGGGGATTTTCTTTCTTTCTGAGTCACCCTGCCTTGGTGGGAGATGGCCGACTTATTTTATTATTATCACACTGGCCGATTCCCACCAAGGCAGGGTGGCCCGAAAAAGAAAAACTTTCACCATCATTCACTCCATCACTGTCTTGCCAGAAGGGTGCTTTACACTACAGTTTTTAAACTGCAACATTAACACCCCTCCTTCAGAGTGCAGGCACTGTACTTCCCATCTCCAGGACTCAAGTCCGGCCTGCCGGTTTCCCTGAATCCCTTCATAAATGTTACTTTGCTCACACTCCAACAGCACGTCAAGTATTAAAAACCATTTGTCTCCATTCACTCCTATCAAACACGCTCACGCATGCCTGCTGGAAGTCCAAGCCCCTCGCACACAAAACCTCCTTTACCCCCTCCCTCCAACCCTTCCTAGGCCGACCCCTACCCCGCCTTCCTTCCACTACAGACTGATACACTCTTGAAGTCATTCTGTTTCGCTCCATTCTCTCTACATGTCCGAACCGACTTGTTAAAACAAAAAAACAAAAAAATTTGGTGAGGTACATTTTCCTAGCACAAAATAGAAGTACCTGTGAGGAGAAAGAATATGAAGACCATGATGGCAGTGTATCCAAAATACAGCATTCCTAGCACAAAATAGTTGTACCTGTGAGAAGGAAGAATAGGAAGACCATGATGGCAGTGTATCCGAAATACAGCATGGTAGAGATGGCACCCTCTATGCTGAGCTTCGTGATGAAGTAATGAATGCAGTACACAAAGAGGTAGAAAGCTGTGAAGCCGGAGGTCAGGAAGCTGCGCCACCACCAGTGATAATCCTGAAAAAGTAAAACAAGATTCAAGTAAAAAAAATAAAAGAAAATTCAAGAAGACATGAGCATGAGTCCTTGTAAAGTATCTGGGTTTTAATATCTTTGTCTTGCAAAACTGTAATAATATAATTGTAAGCAACTTTCAGAATGGATGGGATTTCGAGTCCAAGATAAGCCACAACTGGCTTCCTGTGGGTTTAAATGTAGTTCATTTTTTAGCCCTTTCAGGGTTTCAGCCGTACTAGTACGGCTTACGCACCAGAGTTCTTGATGTACTAGTACGCCTAAATTCTAGTGCCCTCAAATCTAGTGAGAGAAAGCTGGTAGGCCTACATATGAAAGAATGGGTCTATGTGGTCAGTGTGTGTGGTATAAAAAAAATCCTGCAGCACACAGTGCATAATGAGAAAAAAAAACTTTGACCGTGTTTTTGGATTAAAACAGCGACTTTGCACTGTATTTTCATATGGCATTTATTGTTGTATTCTAGTTTTCCTGGTCTCATTTTATAGAATGGAAGACATATTACAGAAATTGAGATGATTTTGACTGGTTTTACAAAGAAAACTACCTTGAAATTGCGCTCAAAGTAGCAGAAATGCTCGATTTTTACCAAAGTTCAAAAGTAAACAAATCATGCTATGCATCCAATACACGTCAATTGGTGAGTCTAATATTCTTTCACAAGTGCGCAGATAATATTTATACCATTTCTACACCAATGCAGTAGTCTGCATAACAGTAAATCTATTTTTTTGTGAGAATAAAAATTCAAAGTGGAAAGCAAAAGAATGTAAGAGGAGCATGGGGACATGACTAATGAACAGAGGAAATGTTATTTTAGTGCCAGGAATGTCTTTCTTGTTTATTCTGGACCCTATTTGGAAATTGGCATCTTTTGAAATTTGTGTGAAATTAGCAAAATTGCTAAATTCTGACCACTGTATTGGATAGTTGAAATCGGTAAATGGGTGGTTTCTTGTACTCATTCGATAGAAAAAATAGAGTTCTAGCGAAATAGTTATTATTTTTGTCGACAAGTACACTGGAATTGGTCGAAAATAGAGCTCAAAGTGGGCAAAATCACCGATGCGTAAACATCGTCGAGACCGCTAACTTCGCGAGAGCATAATTCCCTAAGTTTTCCATCAAATTTCATACTTTTGGTGTCATTATGATCGGGAAAAGATTCTCTATCTTTTCATTAGAAAAAAAAAATTTTTTTTCTTTTGAAATTTGGCCAACCCTGAGAACAAATCTCTGAGAGGGCCTGTCGACCCTGAAAGGGCTAAATAATTTTAATTTAGGGTGCTAATTTTTCAAACACACCAGTCACTGCCCACCACTCCACTAAGGTAAGGTGACCCAAAGGAAAAATGCAAGACTTTGGTAGCCTGTCTAACCTCCCACTAGAGTGACTTAAGAAATCGTAATGACACGATTGCAAACAAACCATACCCCCGGCCGGGATTGAACCCGCGGTCATAGAGTCTCAAAACTCCAGCCCGTCGCGTTAGCCACTAGACCAGCTAGCCACTTATTGTGGCTAGCTGGTCTAGTGGCTAACGCGACGGGCTGGAGTTTTGAGATTATGACCGCGGGTTCAATCCCGGGCGGGGGTATGGTTTCTCCCACTAGAGGTCCATGGCTTGTCCCCAGTTTTAAGTTTCAGTAATGGTAATTGTTGCCCTCTGTTTGTGACCACATAAATTGTGCGAGTCATGCTTTTCTCTCATTAACCCAAGCCAGCCACTTGCTATCAACTCTAGACCTGTGGGCTCCTCCCCCTGGCTTCATCTATCTTGGCACAGGGCACCTACTATATCATGGCCTGTACATATTTGTAAATAAATGGACCCATAAGTAAAATTGAAGCTCCCTAAAACAACATTCACCCCTCCCTCCTTCAACAGCTGACTTGCTAAAAGTGTGGGGACATCAAAATTCAAATGGCCCTTTGTCTTCCAACATCCCTACACATCCTTCAGAGTGTAGGCACTATACTTCACATTTACAGAATTGAAATTAGCTAACCAGTTCTCTGAATCCCTTTACAAATGAAGCCTTTTTCATGCTCCTACATCATGCTAATTACCACATTCACCTCTATGTGGGCAGACAATGGAAAAGCTAGGAATCCTTTTATTGCAAGATTTCACCCAAGGCTGGACATTATTAAGTGCACGGAAAAGGCAAATGTACCATATTATGGGCAAACGAGCACCATGAGCTCAGGTTTGAAGAAAGACATGTCACACACAAGGTTAATGGAAAAGCATGTTACATGAGTTCATAACTTGTGAGATCAAGTCTGGTGAGGTCAGATATTGGTGGGTGCAAGGGATGGGGGTAAAGTAACAAGTTTATTATGATCATATGAATTATGGATAATGTGAACAACAGGTGCAGTCAACATGTACATTCCAATGTTTTCTTCAGTGGTTATGAGGAGGTGGATCACTAAAGCTTCCAAAATTCTGTGTCTGGCCCTGTTACGGACAGAGAAAGAGCACAGCTGTTACAACATAAGAATGACCGAGTCAGACACACAATTTTGGAAGCATAGGTGATACTGCCAGTTTGGAGGGACTTCTAAACTGTTGTATTTGAACACCTCTGCAAGGACAGTGATTATATATGAGTGAAGGTGAAAGTGTTGAATGATGATGAAAGTATTTTCTTTCTTTTTGGGTCACCCTGCCTTAATGGGAAACAGCCAATGTGTTAAAAAAAAAGCGATCCACCTCACCAAAACTGCTGAGCAAAACAGTGGAATATACATGTTGGCTGGAAAGTTATTCATTCATGACAGAAGTGACCTCTCATTTAAAATGCAGGCACAGTACTTCCCACCTCCAAGACTCAAGTCCAGCAACCAGCAAGTGCTCCACATTAACTCTTGAGTGTGTCCAAAGTACTAGTACACAGGTTATGGTACTGCATTTGAGGTACTAGTATGAACCATTTTTTGTACCAACAAATCTGCTACCTGCCAATATTTTTTTTTACCTCAGGATAACACTTTGAGTCTTCTTCCATCTATTCACACATTTAAAAAAAATCTAAGGCCAGCAGGGTCCACACAATGTATCATGGTTAACTACTCAGGGGATTACTGTATATCCAAAATACAGTGGACCCTGAACCAGCGATATTAATCCGTTCCTGAGAGCTCATCGTTAATCAAAATAATCGTTAGTCAAGTTAATTTTCCCCATAAGAAATAATGGAAATCAAATTAATCCGTGCAAGACACCCCAAAGTATTGAAAAAAAAATTTTTTACCACATGAAATATTAATTTTAATACACACAAACTGAAGAAGACATGCACAGTTACATGACACTTACCTTTATTGAAGATCTGGTGATGATTGATGGGATGGGAGGAGGGGAGACCGTTGATCTTGTTAAGTGTTTAGAAGGGGAATCCCCTTCCATTAGCACTTGAGGCAGCAAGTCTTTTTCTGGGGTTACTTCCCTTGTTCTTTTAATGCCACTAGGACCAGCTTCAGAGTCACTGGACTTCTGTCGCACAACATATCTGTCCATAGAGGCCTGTACCTCTCGTTCCTTTATCCTAAAGTGTTTCACAACATTGCCAGTGTAATAGTCACCAGCATGGCTTGCAATAGCTGTGTGAGGGTGATTTTCATCAAAAAGTTTGCACTTTAAGCCACATTGCACACATTTCCTTAATCTTTGAAGTAGGCAACTTCTTCAATTTCTCTCTCCCCTCCTCCGAAGCAGTTTCCTCAGGTGTGGCCTCTTACTGTTGAAGATGATCTAGCAGCTCATCAGTGGTTAGTTCTTCATTGTCCTCCTCCACCAACTCTTCCACATCCTCCCCACTAACCTCACCAATATGAGCACTAGTTCCAGGCATTTTTTCCTGTTCACCTGGGTGTTAGTCAACTGTTGTGGGTCGCATCCTGGGGGACAAGATTAAGGACCCCCAATGGAAATAAGTTAGACAGTCCTCGATGATGCACTGACTTTCTTGGGTTATCCTGGGTGGCTAACCCTCCGGGGTTAATCGTTTCTCGGTAATTGTTTCACGTTAAGCCACACCAACAACACTCTCTCCACATCTTTGAGTAATACAGCTGATTGTGGTGCAGCAACAACAACAGCTGACTGTGGTGCAGCAGCAGCTGCACCTTTGGCAAGAACAGCTTCCTTGATTGCCGTTTTCTTACCCACAATAGTAACGATGGTTGATTGGGGTTTATTATACAACCTGACCAGCTCAGAGACACGCACTCCACTTTCATACTTAGCAATGATCTCTTTCTTCATCTCCATAGTAATTCTCACCCTTTTTGCTGTAGGGTTGGCACTAGAAGCTTTCTTGGGGCCCATGGTGACTTATTTTGCAGGTGCAATCACTACAAAGGCTGTGATAATATGAAATGTTCCAGTTGTTGTATGTTTGGAAGCGACCGCAGTGGCTGGTTGGCTTGTAAACACTGACACCCAAGGGACAAGTGAGGCGCGCTCAGGCCAAAGTGGATGCGTATGGTACGGAACGAATAGCGCTGGTCAGGTTTTTAAGCGCTAGTCGAGGCAAAATTTTTGCGTTTAAATGTATCTCTAGTCAGATTTATCGTTAATCGATGCCATCGCTGGTTAAGGGTCCACTGTACTAGTATGCCTCTCTAACTAAAGTAAACAAACGAACAAGGAGCTGTAGTTCTAACACCAGCTTCCATACCAGCAGACAGGGTGTGCAAATGGTTCAAAGATGACTTATTCAGTCCAAATTTATTACAATTTCGTGATACTATCAGTGGAATTCAGCCACAAAACACACTAGGTATATCACCCAGGATAACCCAATAAAGTCAATGTGAATAATTTCCATGTTTTGATGAATATTATACTCTAAAATATTTTAAGTATTCATTAAACACAGCCTTAGAAGACCAAAATATAGTATAAAAAATATAATAAAATAACAATTATAAAGTGTATATACCATATACAGTGCCAACCAATTTTTTTTTTTTTGTTGCCTGTTATCACTAATCTTCTTAGGCCCATGGTGACTTATTTATACAATATAAAAAAAAACACCAAAAAATGCGAAGAAACACGAAATACCTTACAGCGAAGTTCTGGCAGGTCGTGTTTGTTGGGTCAAGTGCCGAGCAAACAGTCAACTACCGAGTGATTTTTTTTACGGAACAAAGAGCTCAAATACCGAATTGTTCGAGTAGGGAGCTGTTCGAGTACCGAGGTTCCACTGTATATATAACCCAGTAAAGTCAATCAGCATTACTTATTTCCATGTTTTCAGGAATATTACACTATGAAATACAAGTTCAAAATAGTAAAAAAAAAAATTTAATAAAAACTCGTTATACAGTGAACCCCTGCATACCGTCGGCATCACATAACGTTAAATCCGCATACCGATACATTTTATCGCTAAGATTTTGCCTCGCATACCGCTAAAAAACCCGCTCAACGCTATTCGTCCGAGACGCATCTAATGTGCGGCCTGAGCCAGCCTCGCATGTTCCGCCGGTGGCATTGTTTACCAGCCAGCCTCCGCGGTAACATCCAAGCATACAATCAGAACATTTCATATTATTACAGTGTTTTTGGTGATTTTATCTGCAAAATAAGTGACCATGGGCCCCAAGAAAGCTTCTAGTGCCAACCCTGTGGTAAAAAAGGTGAGAAATATTATCGAAATACTGTGGTACCATGGTCAACTGCTGATGCTGCTGCTGCTGTAGCACTGTCAGCTGCTGCTGCTACTGTAGCACCATCAGCTGCTGCTGCTGCTGTACCACCGTCAGCTGCTGCTGCTGCTGTAGTACCGTCTGCTGCTGCTGTAGCACTGTCTGCTGCTGCTGTAGCACTGTCTGCTGCTGCTGTAGCACTGTCAGCTGCTGCTGTAGCACTGTCAGCTGCTGCTGCTGCTGCTGCTGCTGTAGCACTGTCAGCTGCTGCTGCTGTAGCACCGTTGTTGGTGTGGCTTATTGAGAAGACAAAGAAACAATTAACCCCAGGGGGATAGCCACCCAGGATAACCCAAAAAAGTCAGTGTCATTGAAGACTGTCTAACTTATTTCCATTGGGGTCCTTAATCTTGTCTCCCAGGATGCAACCCACACCAGTCAACTAACACCCAGGTGAACAGGGAAAAATGCCTGGAACTAGTGCTCATATTGGTGAATTTAAAGCCAGCAAAGGTTAGTTTGAGAGATTTAAGAATCGTAGTGGCATACACAGTGTGATAAGGCGGTTCTGGAAGAAAGTGCCAAACAGGACCTACAGTACTCAGGAGGAAAAGGCACTCCCAGGACACAGTGTCTCATCAGTCATTGCTGCATCTTCAATAAAGGTAAGTGTCATTTATTCTTCATTTAGTAGAGTAGTACATGCACAATATATATTGTGCATGTACTACTCTACTATTGTGCATGTATCCTTCTCTTTGTGTGTAGGAAAATGTATATTTCATGTGGTAAAATTTTTTTTTTTCATACTTTTGGGTGTCTTGCACGGATTAATTTGATTTCCATTATTTCTTATAGGGAAAATTTATTCGCATAACGATAATTTCGCATAACAATGAGCTCTCAGGAACGGATTAATATCGTTATGCGGGGGTCCACTGTACTGTATACAGTGGACCCCCAGTTTTTGGCCACTGCAGAAATTGTGCAGCTCGGATTTCAAGCACTTTTTCAGTGAAATTTTCCCCAGGGTTTTGTACATCCGCTTGGAAATCGTCGGTATCAGATGCATCCACCTGCCCAGGATGCAGCTTCTCACGTGTACCACACTCAGTCTGCCTGTGCCTCTCGTTGAGTTAGCAATACTCCACGCACTCATCCATTGGTTTTTGTGCTTGTTTATTGATTACGACTGTGAAATAAGCCACCATGGGGCCAAAGAAAGTTCAGAATACCAGCCCTTAGATAGAATTCAAGAAAGAACTCGTAGAATGAGTTGCAAAGTTTTGTGGAGAAATATCACTACCACCCTCTACAAAGGTAAAGTGACTGATAGAGGGTGGTAGTGATGGTGGTAGAGGATGGAAGTGATGATGGTAGTGATAGCAAACAGTCGAAGATGTTGAGAAGTTGTTGTTGGTGTGGATCAACGAAAAACAGTTAGCGAGAGATAGTGTTGTGAAGGCAATAATTTGTGAAAAGGCAAGGCAGTTGCATGCTGACAAGTCTTCAATAAAGGTAAAACTGATTTAAATGTTTATTTATCCATTAAAATTAGTGTTTTATATTTCTCATTGTTTTCTGAATGTAAAACAATAGTTATTCTCTATAAAATATTTTTTTTTTTAATATTTTTGGGTGTCTGGAACGGATTAATTGAATTTACATTAATTCTTATGTGAAATATTACTTCGGTTTTCGTCCATTTCGGATTTCAGCCGACCTTCCGGAATGGATTAAGGCTGGAAACCGGGGGTCCACTGTATACAGCCTCTCCTCACTTAGCGACGTACTCGCTTACCAATGCCTCGGATTTACGACGGACTTTCTGACCAGCATTTATACCTGACTTACTCTATTCTGTTTATTTCAATATACAGTACACTACTGTATAAACATTTTAAAATATACCAGAAATGTTATAAATGGTGCAAAGGTAACATTAAAGCAATATAAGAGATGGTTGACACAAACCCACTATTATAGTATGCTCCTCACTCAGCGATGAATTTGTTTAACAACGCAGTCTTAGGGAACGGAACTTCGTCATTAAGTGAGGAGAGGATGTATATATAGCAATTATTCAAAGTGAAGCAATTTTTGAAGTGCTAAGACACCTTGAAACACATCTAATATTATAAAAAAAAAAGAGTATGTATAAAACATTAAACATTAAAAACAATTAAAAAACAGAAAACAATCATATATTATCATCAATAATTGTAAAATGTAAACATCGCTGGGGCTTTAACACTACTGTTGATGATTAGCAGTCATTTTTTCACAAACTTCAACACATAACAAAGTTATAAGATTTTTATCAGATTTCACTCAGTGTAGTCTTATTCGTTTCAGAAAAACAAACTCTATTGATCAATAACAATTTTTTTTATTATTATTTTTCAAAATCTTCCCCCACACACACACAAATTTTTTTCCAGGGTCTTCCATAGTTAACCCTTTCAGTGTTGGTCCCATTTTACTATGGCTTTGAAGCCAAGGTCATAGAGATGATAAGAGTTGGACAATTGACAACATCAATTCTAGGTATGTCATTACAGTTAACATTAGTGGGGACATTTTCCAAGGATTCCCTAGATGTACTTTTGGTACAGGCATGTCAACAATGCCACCTTCAAGGAACTGGTACAACCAGATCCTCATTGGATGCTCATACACATCAGTGGCTTTTACCATGTAATACAATTATGTCTGCAACTGTTCTGTCAGCAACCTACTCCCATCCACATTAATTCATTAATAGCTAAAACTGTCCAGCAAACTCAGCCTCGAGACCACATGGCACAGGGGCCACACAGACACAAAATCGTCCACTACGCAAGCCTAGTGGGTACTTAAGATTTAGACAGCAACTTTAAGGAATTCTCAGACATCCCACTTAGAGTTGTTTGGTCAACATAACTTTTTGTTTTACTGATAAGGTTACCAAAGTAGACTTTTACTTTGGATATTGAAGTATGCTGGGTGCCTTCCACCCGGTGTACTTTAACGACGTGCACTGTATCAAAAACCCAGATGAATAAATTACCTCAGCACAGAGGTGGAAGTAGCAGAGCAGCACAGTGGTTTCTGAGCAGGTGACAATAAGGATCAAGAACACCAGGAAGAGGAATCCAAACATGTAGTATGTTTGTGACGACCAGATGGAGTTGAGAATGAAAAAGAGCTGGATGAAGATGCAGCCGAAGGGTAACACACCGCCCATGATGATGCCAGGAAGAGGCTGAGTGTATATACTCTGCTCAGGAATCTGCCGGGGAATCTGGTTCGTCCGCACTGGATTCTCCAAGCACTGGAACAAACAATTAGGACATATTTACTAGGAGTACATTGTCAATAGAAAAGATGTATAAGAAGATATTCTCATCCCAAGTACTTGAAGACTAATATAACAACTTATAACAGCTTGGGGTAATTAATGACAACATGAGAATGAGTGCTAAGAGTATTTTAAATTCAAAAATTTTTGCATGTTATGCTGGGCCATTTTTCAAGAGTTCCTCTTTTTTTTTTCCATGAACCACTTACATGTATTTTGTTTTCTATGAACCATAACAATTAATACAGCATTTAATTTCCAATATTCTTAAAAAAAAATTCCCTTCACTGAAACATTGACAAAAACTTAAAATTATTTATAAGCACTTCATTAATTAACTGCAAACTGTAAAACAACAACAAAAAAAGGAATAATTTGAATACAATCTCATGTTTGTGTGAGAAACAAACATACATACATACATCTTTTTTTTAGCATGCTACCTGTCTCCCACTGAGGCAGGGTGACCCAAAAAATAAAACACTTTCAGTATCAATCACAATATCACTAGTCTTGAGAGGTATGTGGATACTAAAATTCAAATGACCCTCCAAGCAGCAAATATCCCCACCCTCCCTTCTTAGTGCAGACACTGTACTTTCTACCTCCAGTACTCAAGTCCAGCTAACTTGTTTCCCTGGATCCCTTCACAAAATGTTACACTCATTCCTATCTAACCCACTCATACATGCTTGCTGGATGTCCAAACCCCTTACACACAAAACCTTCTTTAACCCCATCCCTCCAACCTTTCCTAGGATGACCCCTACCTTTCCTTCCTTCCTTGCATTACAGATTTATACACTCTCCAAATCATCCTATTTTGCTCCAACCTCTCTAAATGTCCAAACCACATCAACAATCCTTCCTCAGCCCTCTGGATAATACTTTTAGTAACCCTGCAGCTCCTTCTAATCTCCAAACCATGAATTCTCTGCATAATATTTGCACCACACATTGTCACCCTCAGACATGACACCTCCACTGCCTCTAGCCTTCTCCTTGCTGCATCATTCACAACCCATGTAAGAGTGTGAATACCACTACTCTCATACATTCCCCTTTTTGCCTCCATGGATATTGTTTTGTCTGCACAAAGGCCTAAGTGCACCAACCATATTTTTCCCTTCATCAATTCTATGGTTCACCTCATCTTTCAAAGACCCATCAGATGATAAGTCCATTCCTAAATAGCTGAACACTTTCACTTCCTCTATAATCCCATCCTTCCAATCTACCAGTATATAAATAATCTGACACCCTACTCACCTTGCTCTTTCCTAGGTTCACTTTTATTTCCTTCTTTTACGTACCTTCTTAAATTTATAAATGAAGAAATGGTTTGATGATTTTATGGCAAAGGCTACATACACATTTTTTAACCCCCTCGACAAAAAAAAAAAATCCACTCAATATCAAGCCTGTATAGTTTATATCTTGCTTGTGCCTTGCTAAACACTGTCTATAATGTAGGGTTATATAGAACCTTATATACAATAACTGCATTTCTGGCTACATTCTGAATAATAGCAGAGAAAGTTTGCTCAGAATATACCATTCAAAAGACAGGAGAATTATTTACTTTGTTGTTAGTGATAAAAAGACTAGACCTCTTTAAAAGTATAAATGACAAGAGTTACATGGATTACTGACTTACCCTCTTCCTGTAGCCAAAGAAGGAGCCTACAAAAGTGAGTGGGACAGACACCAGGAACCAGAGTGCCAAGAGTGCCAGCAGTGTGGTGAAGGGAACAGCAGCACTTGACCCCTTGTACCACAGAATCAAGTTCATGATGAAGAACAGAGCGAACACAATACTGAAATATTCAACTTTTATTACTGTTAATTGATGATGAACAACAGAGTAAACAATACTGAAATATTTGACTATTATTACTGTTAGCTGATGATGAACAACAGAGTAAACAATACTGAAATATTCAACTTTTATTACTGAGAGTTGATGATGAACAACAGAGCAAACAAAACTGAAATGTTCAACTTTTATAAACATCCTCAAATCTTCCACTTTCTAAAAATAAAAAAAAAATAGTACTATAATTTCATTTCTACTAAAACAAATTATGAATGATTTAAAAAAACAATTAGCAAGGAAATGTCAATTAAACATTTTCTCAAAATCATATCAGTGAAACCCCACATTATCCACCACTCATTTTTGCAATAAACTAATTGGAACACCAAGACTTTTTTAAGTACCACTAAGTGTACTAAGAGTTCTCAGTAACAGAGGTGCTAGTTATGTTTTGTATGAAGACTTCTTTGGTTTGCACTAACTTGTTATTACCCTTCAAAAGAATGCACAAAATAATAAAATTTCTGCTAAACGTGGCTATACACTATCATATCAACTACTATGCCAATTCAGCAATAAAATAGCCTTGGGTATATAATAGACTTGGGTATGAAATAGCCTCGGGTATTAAATAACCTCAGGTATAAAAGGTAGTAGGTTGGTAGACAGCAACCACCCAGGGAGGTACTACCGTCCTGCCAAGTGAGTGTAAAACGGAAGCCTGTAATTGTTTTACATGATGGTAGGATTGCTGGTGTCCATTTTTCTGTCTCATAAATATGCAAGATTTCAGGTATGTCTTGCTACTTCTACTTACACTTAGGTCACACTACACATACATTATTATTTTTTTTTATTATCACACCGGCCGATTCCCACCAAGGCAGGGTGGCCCGAAAAGGAAAAACTTTCACCATCATTCACTCCATCACTGTCTTGCCAGAAGGGTGCTTTACACTACAGTTTTTAAACTGCAACATTAACACCCCTCCTACACATACATACATGTACAAGCATATATATACACACCTCTCTGGATTTTCTAATATTTTCTTACTAGTTCTTGTTCTTGTTGTTTATTTCCTTACCTCCATGGGGAAGTGGAACAGAATTCTTCCTCCGTAAGCCATGCGTGTTGTAGGAGGCAACTAAAATGCCGGGAGAAAGGGGCTAGTAACCTCTTCTCCTGTATATATTACTAAATGTAAAAGGAGAAACTTTCGTTTTTCCTTTTAGGCCACCCCGCCTCGGTGGGATACGGCCGGTGTGTTGAAAGAAAGAAGATTAAATAACCTCAGGTATAAAAGGTAGTAGGTTGGTAGACAGCAACCGCCCAGGGAGGAACTACCATTCTGCCAAGTGAGTGTAAAACGAAAGCTTGTAATTGTTTTACATGATGGTAGGATTGCTGGTGCCTTTTGTCTGTCTCAAACACGCAAAATTAGAGGTACGTCTTGCTACTTCTACTTACACTTAGGTCACACTAAACATACACATACACATTTATTTATAAACACTCATCTGAGTTTTCTTTGATTTTATCTTAGTTCTTGTTCTAATTACTTTTCCTTTTATATCCATGGGGAAGTGGAATAAGAATCTTTCCTCCGTAAGCCATGCGTGTTGTAAAAGTCAACTAAAATGCCGGGAACAATGGGCTAGTAACCCCTTTTCCTGTAAAAATTACTAAAAAGAATAAGAAGAAAATTGTCAAAGTGGGAAGTTTAAATGTGCATGGATGTTGTGCAAATGATAAGAAAGAGATGATTGTGGATGTTATGAATGAGAAGAAGCTGGATATCCTGGCTTTAAGTGAAACAAAGCTGAAGGGGGTGGGCGAGTTTCAGTGGAGAGGAATAAATGGGATTAGGTCAGGGGTTTCTAATAGAGTTAGAGCTAAAGAAGGAGTAGCAATAATGTTGAAGGATAAGCTATGGCAGGAAAAGAGGGACTATAAATGTATTAATTCAAGGATTATGTGGAGTAAAATAAAGGCTGGATGTGAGAAGTGGGTTATAATAGGCATTTATGCACCTGCAGAAGAGAGAAGTATAGAGGAGAGATAGAGATTTTGGGAAATGTTGAGTAATTGCGTGGGGAGTTTTAAACCAAGTGTGAGAGTACTTGTGGTTGGGGATTTTAATGCTAAAGCGGGAAAAATGTTGTGGAGGAGTAGTAGGTAAATTTTGGGTGCCAGGGGTAAATGAAAATAGGGAGCCTTTAACTGAGCTATGTGTAGAAAGAGGTTTGGTAATAAGTAATACATATTTTATGAAAAAGAGGATAAATAAATATATAAGGTATGATGTAGAACGTAATGAAAGTAGTTTGTTAAATTATGTATTGGTGGATAAAAGGTTGATGGGTAGGCTCCAGGATGTACACATTTATAGAGGGGCAACTGATATATCGCATCATTATCTAGTTGTAGCTACAGTTAGAGTAAGAGGTAGATGGGATAAGAGGAAAATGGCAACAAGTAAGACAGAGGTGAAAGTGTATAAACTAAGGGAGGAGGAAGTTCGGGTGAAATATAAGCAACTCTTTTCAGAAAGGTGGGCTGGTGCAGGTATGAGTAGTGGGGGGGGGTTGAAGAGGGCTGGAATTGTTTTAAAAATGCAGTATTAGAATGTGGGGCAGAAGTTTGTGGTTATAGGAGGGTGGGTGCAGGAGGAAAGAGGAGTGATTGTTGGAGTGATGAAGTAAAGGGTGTGATAAAAGAGAAAAACTTAGCTTATGAGAGGTATTTACAAAGCAGAAGTGTTATAAGAAAAGTAGAGTATATAGAGAGTAAAAGAAAGGTGAAGAAAGTGGTGAGAGAGTGCAAAAGGAGAGCAGATGATAGAGTGGGAGAGGCACTGTCAAGGAATTTTAATGAAAATAAGAAAAAATTGTGGAGTGAGTTAAACAAGTTAAGAAAGCCTAGGGAACAAATGGATTTATCAGTTAAAAACAGAGAAGGGGAGTTAGTAGATGGGGAGATGGAGGTTTTGAGTAGATGGCAAGAATTTTGAGGAACCTTTAAATGTCGACGAAGAAAGGGAGGCGGTAATTTCATGCACTGGCCAGGGAGGTATATCATCTTTTAGGAGTGAAGAAGAGCAGGATGTGAATGTGGGGGAGGTGCGTGATGCATTACGTAGAATGAAAGGGGGTAAAGCAGCTGGAACTGACGGGAACATGACAGAAATGTTAAAAGCAGGGGACGACATAGTGTTGGAGTGGTTGGAGTGGTTTAATGAATGTAAGAGGGGAAGGTACCTAGGGATTGGCAGAGACCATGTATAGTCCCTTTATATAAAGGGAAGGAGACAAAAGAGATTGTAAAAATTATAGAGGAATAAGTTTACTGAGTATACCAGGAAAAGTGTACGGTAGGGTTATAATTGAAAGAATTAGAGGTAAGACAGAATGTAGGATTGCAGATGAGCAGGGAGGCTTCAGAGTGGGTAGGGGATGTGTAGATCAAGTGTTTACATTGAAGCATGTATGTGAACAGTATTTAGATAAAGGTAGGGAAGTTTTTATTGCATTTATGGATTTAGAAAAGGCATATGATAGAGTGGATAGAGGAGCAATGTGGCAGATGTTGCAAGTATATGGAATAGGTGGTAAGTTACTAAATGCTGTTAAGAGTTTTTATGAGGATAGTGAGGCTCAGGTTAGGGTGTGTAGAAGAGAGGGAGAATACTTCTCGGTAAAAGTAGGTCTTAGACAGGGATGTGTAATGTCACCATGGTTGTTTAATATATTTATAGATGGGGTTGTAAAAGAAGTAAATGCTAGGGTGTTCGGGAGAGGGGTGGGATTAAATTATGGGGAATCAAATTCAAAATGCTAATTGACACAGTTACTTTTTGCTGATGATACTGTGCTTAAGGGAGATTCTAAAGAAAAATTGCAAAGGTTAGTGGACAAGTTTGGGAATGTGTGTAAAGGTAGAAAGTTTAAAGTGAACATAGAAAAGAGTAAGGTGATGAGGGTATCAAATGATTTAGATAAAGAAAAATTGGATATCAAATTGGGGAGGAGGAGTATGGAAGAAGTGAATGTTTTCAGATACTTGGGAGTTGACGTGTCGGCGGATGGATTTATGAAGGATGAGGTTAATCATAGAACTGATGGAGGAAAAAAGGCGAGTGGTGCGTTGAGGTATATGTGGAGTCAAAAAACGTTATCTATGGAGGCAAAGAAGGGAATGTATGAAAGTATAGTAGTACCATCACTCTTATATGGATGTGAAGCTTGGGTGGTAAATGCAGCAGCAAGGAGACGGTTGGAGGCACTGGAGATGTCCTGTCTAAGGGCAATGTGTGGTGTAAATATTATGCAGAAAATTCGGACTGTGGAAATTAGGAGAAGGTGTGGAGTTAATAAAAGCATTAGTCAGAGGGCAGAAGAGGGGTTGTTGAGGTGATTTGGTCATTTAGAGAGAATGGATCCAAGTAGAATGACATGGAAAGCATATAAATCTATAGGAGAAGGAAGGAGGGGTAGGGGTCGTCCTCGAAAGGGTTGGAGAGAGGGGGTAAAGGTGGTTTTGTGGGAGAGGGGCTTGGACTTCCAGCATGCGTGCGTGAGCGTGTTAGATAGGAGTGAATGGAGACGAATGATACTTGGGACCTGACGATCTGTTGGAGTGTGAGTAGGGTAATATTTAGTGAAGGGATTCAGGGAAACTGGTTATTTTCATATAGTCAGACTTGAGTCCTGGAAATGGGAAGTACAATGCCTGCACTTTAAAGGAGGGGTTTGGGATATTGGCAGTTTGGAGGGATATGTTGTGTATCTTTATACGTATATGCTTCTAAACTTTTGTATTCTGCGCACCTCTGCAAAAACAGTGATAATGTGTGAGTGTGGTGAAAGTGTTGAATGATGATGAAAGTATTTTCTTTTTGGGGATTTTCTTTCTTTTTTGGGTCACCCTGCCTCGGTGGGAGACGGCCGACTTGTTGAGAAAAAAAAAAAAATTCTATGAGTGTAAAACGAAAGCCTGTAATTGTTTTACATGATGGTAGGATTGCTGGTGTCTTTTTATTCTGTCTCATACACATGCAAGATTTCAGGTACATCTTGCTACTTCTATTTACAATTAGGTCACACTTCACATACATGTACAAGCACATATACACACACCCCTCTGGGTTTTCTTCTATTTTCTTTCTAGTTCTTGTTCTTGTTTATTTCCTCTTACCTCCATGGGGAAGTGGAACAGAATTCTTCCTCCGTAAGCCATGCGTGTTGCAAGAGGCAACTAAAATGCCAGGAGCAAGGGGCTAGTAACCCCTTCTCCTGTATATATTACTAAATGTAAAAGGAGAAACTTTCGATTTTCCTTTTGGGCCACCCCGCTTCGGTGGGATACGGCCGGTGTGTTGAAAGAAGAAATTCTAGTGGCCTCAAATCAAGTGGGAGAAAGCTGGTAGGCCTGCATGTGAGAAAATGGGTCTGCGTGGTGGGTGTGCGCACTATGAAAAAAATCAGGGACTCAGTGGTGCATTGTGGGAGCTCCATTCCAGTAGTCCTTGTTCACCATGCCTCGCAGTAAGAAGTACCTCACTCCTCGGCGGACTGGAGGTCTTTTGTTCCCAATTGATAGTTCTAACAGTGATGGAAGTGCCAGTGAAAGTGAATTTTATAGTTTTGGAGAGGGTGTGACTGAAAGCAGTGCCCAGGATAGCATAATTAGTGATGAAAATCCAGATGACCCACAACCTTCCATCTCTGGTGCTGGGCTGTCTCATTCAAGTTCACATGTACCAGGACGAATGAGGAAACTATTTCCCTGTGTACAGGACTCAGATGTGTGCAGTGATAGTGATAGTGATTTCCAAGCTACTGAAAGTAGCTCTAGTTGCAACAGTGAGGGCGAATATTCTCCAGTGAAGCGGCAGTATGTACGATGCAGCATGCATTCTGGTAGTGTGCCATATGCTATTCCAAGGGGAAGGAGCAAATCTCTGAGTAAATCCCATGGCCCTACACCACGAACTGACAGTGAAGATGACGATATTGTTACAGTGGGGATGAATAATGTGCGTGGGGCAGCAGGCGGTGGTGATCTTGGAGGTGGCATGAGTCATGTGCCACCAGCAGCTGGCCATGCTAGTACCCACGTTGCTAACTCAGCACAGCCACAACCACCCCCACACTCCCACAACATCCACAACCACAACCTTCACAACTGCAACTACCTGTAAATATCCAGTATCCACCAGCAGACTGCATCTGGGATTGGCAGCAAGGCGACAATTTTGTTCCCAATCCCCATCACTTTGATGAAATACAAAGTGGAATACGGCCATCATGTATACTCGGGAACAATGCCACTGAACTGTTGTTCTTCAATGAACTCCTGATGGACATTATCGTCAGGGAAAGCAATACATACTTCGAGTACACCATGGCAAACACAATTCTTTCACCAAGATCATTCCTACACCAGTGGAAGGACACAACTGTGGCAGAGATGTATCTGTTCTTTGCCACAATAATGCTTATGCCACATGTGTATAAGAACACTGTCAACACATACTAGTCGACAGACTGCCTGATTTCAACCCTAGCTTTTGGTGACATTATACCAGTGAATCGATTTCTGCTACTGTTACGTATGCTACACTTCTCAGACAAAACAAGGCCTGACAGAAGCAACAGGTTGTATAAGATAAGGAATGTGTTTATGTGCCTGAAACAAAAGTGCTGTATGTATTTTTATCTCTTCAGGAAGCTTGTTATTGATGAGTCTTTAATTTTGTTCAAAGGCAGACTGTCATTCAAGCAGTATATACCAAGCAAGACGAAATGCTGTGGTATAAAGTTATTAGTACTGTGTGATTGCAAAAGTGGTCTGGTTTTGGATATAATTGTGTACACTGACAGTAATACATTGCAAGATACCAGGAAGTTACTGGGTATCTCTGGTGACGTGGTTAGAACAATGATGGAGCCATATCTAAGTAAGGGGCACACATTATATACTGATAATTGGTACACAAGCCCCTTACTCAGTGATTTTTTGTGAGTGAACATGACAGACGTGTGTGTGGTAAAGTGCGTGGAAATCGTAAACATATGCCTAGATTTGACGCAGGCACTCGTAGAGGTGAGGTGTAGGTGTTTGCTGCCAATGACATCATGGCATTTCAGTGGCATGACAAACATGATGTCACATTGTTGACATCAGGTCACCCACATGAAATGGTAGACACTGGCAAGCAGAATAGAGACCAACGAACCCATTGTAAAACCTGCAGTTGTGATGGACCACAACCTCAATATGCACTTAGTGGAGAAATGTGACATGCAGATTGGGTTTGCTGATTGTGTTCACGAGAATTATAAGTGGTACATAAAACACTTTTTCCATCTTCTTGACATTTCCATGCTGAATGTTTATAATATGTATAAGTTGAAGAGCAACAACAAACCCAAATATGGTGAATTTTGTTTGTCAGTCATCAGACAAACAATATTAAAGTACCAAGGAACAACACTTGCAATAGACCAGCGTCCACAAAATTATCAACACATGCCCTCTCGTCTGAGGCCTGGTGATCACTACCCCCATAAAACTGCTCAGAAGAGGTGTTATGTCTGTGCACATACAACAAAACGCCCACAAAAACGCAGAGACACTCATTTTATGTGTGAGTAGTGTAAAGTACGACTGTGCATATACACGTTTCAAGGAATTCCACAAGCTGCAGCAGTTCTAGGAAAGTGTCCAGTGATTGTACATTTGTATATATACTATAGAACAATAGCAATAAAAAAAATTTTATATTGTTCATTTGTGTAAACAAGTTTTGTAAACAATATAATGATACTAATGTTCGTGCAATTATTGTGTTATATACGAGTGTATATATGTACATTGCACCTTACTTTGGTTTCACAGGCCACATAAGTTTTGTGAAAAAATAAAATAGTGAAAAAACAAGAAACCTTCAAATGGAAATAAACCAATGTTTACCAGGTGAGCGGCATTTGCCGCTGTTGCCATACACAGCTCATTTTCTGCCAACTTTACTCCTCTATGTCTCGGTAAGTACTGAGTGCAAAAAAATTTTTGAGGGCTTAAAACAATCAGAAAATTAATCTTAACATTTTGATAAGAAATTTTTTTTTTTTTTTGAATATTTTTTTTTTGACACCAGGAGACACTTCAGGATTTGGGGTTGCGACAGTCAAAGCAAGGTAAGATTTATGAAGAAATTCAGGGAAACCTGTTAGCTGGACTTGGCAAGACATGGTTGATTTAAAAAAAATAATGGTCAATAAACATTTCAATAGTTCCTACATGATGAACGTTCTGTCATCCGCAGCTTCATGACTGACGTAACCACCAGAAACCTAACCCTCACAAATTGTGACTCTCAAGTGTAACGTCATCATATTAACTAACCCAGGACATAACATAGAAGTCAGAATGACATTCGTTTTCCACTTTTCTCCACCAAAACTCTTATAGAGGCGAGCAGCAATGTAGCCTGCAGGGAAACCCAGACACACGTAGAGCACCAGGGCACATGTCATCAATGCTCCACGGTTGGCCGGTGACAGGAAGCCCAGGCAGGCAAACACTGTAATATAAACTTCTGTTGTACATATATGCTATTACAAACACGTCATTATTTAAACCACGGTACAGGTGGGGATTGAACTCATGGTGGTCACAGTGGTGCCTATGCTAGCCTTCCTATGGTGTATAAATATACCTAGTTGGATGAATCTTATTGTAGCCAGCTGAATAATGCATCGATCTGGAGTTTTACGACGCACTCATCACGAGTTCAATCCTTGACCATACCATGGTTTCTTTGCAATTGTGTCAATACAATTTCTTGAGTCAAGTCATTATTTACATAGTTATTTTGTCAATTCTTAATAATTTATATTTTTTTGATAAACATATTCATTTCGCATACAAACATCCTCGTGTAATATCCAAACATCTTCAATATTCAAACCATCTTCATTTAATATCCATTTAATATTTCATTTAACATCAAAATGTTTTGGAGCATCAACTCCCATCATTTGTAAAGAACAGGTCACAACACCAAAACTGGAACAATACACACGCAACTTGCACATCAGAGAATGAAACTCAAAAACAACATATCGCTGGAAACATTGTCATAAATTTCATTCTCCTATGTGCAGGTTATTTATGTATCTCCTTCATCAGTGCTAAAACAATCAATAACTATTATCCAGCAGAATAACTAGTCTATATCAAAATAAAAACTTCAATACAAATTTTTAAAAAATTAAATATAAAAAATACACAAAAAAGGCTAACATTACTTAATCTAACCACACATTTATACTATAAGGTTATATACTTATAATACATAAAACACATTGTGCATAACAAACAACATTCATTATCATATCTATTTCAAAAAAAAAAAGGAAATATAAAATATATATTATGTATACAAAAAAGGTTATTGGAAAGTTGGGTTGCATACATACAGAGTGTGATCAAGGTCATGATGAAGACCTGAGAGCCAGAACCAACCAAGACGGAGAGCAACATGCCGCGGCGAGGCGGACGGAACACGTCTCCGTGGACCAGCTTCCAACCGTACTCTTCCTGAGCATCCTCTCCTGCATCAATCTACAGTGCAGAGGTGGAAGAGAATAGGATGTAAGGCGATACAATTATCAGATGATGAACTAACACACATGTGCGACACATAGGTATCTCTCTCCAGTTTTAACACAGTGACGCACAAAATAAAGATACCCGAGTAATGTACAAAATAAAGATTCCCCGGTGATATACAAAATAAATATACCCCAGTGATGCACAAAATAAAGATACTAAGGTGTTATACTAATTATTCCTGGTTACACTTGCAGGCTTATCATCTGAAAGTGAGTAATAATCAGCACCATGAGCTGAGGGACTGCCCACCTAAAACTTGTTTCTTCCTGAAGGCTGAGGGACTGACTGCCTCATACATATCTCTCCACTATTTGTACTGTCTCCAGTATTTAAGTCACAACTATATTGTAACTGAAAAATCTCTTGGCAATACATATCCAAAGTGTTGGACATGTATCTTACTCATCAACTTGTTGGTATTCTACATCATTTATAAATGATATTACCAAGTACTGACAACCCTTGTTTTGTTAGTATAGAATGTCCCTGTGTAATGTACGTGGTTGTAGCAAACAATGTCTTTGTGTAACGAGCCTGGTTGTAGCAAACAATGTCCTTGTGTAATGTATGTGGTTGTAGCAAAAAATGTCCATGTGTAACATACCTGGTTGTAGCGAGCAATGTCCTTGTGAAGTGTACGCAACATGATCATGGCCACCATGCCAGAGAGAAAGAGCACGATCACCAGGGAGTTGAGAATACTGAACCACTGAATGTTGGTGTGAGGCATGGAGTCCAGGATGTAGTCCCAACGAGATGACCAACGGTTGTTCCCGGTGCTCTTCTACAAATGGAACACAACAAATTAAAATCAATGAAATGTTTAAAAAAAAAAAAAAAGGAATCAGAGGTGATATACAGTATATATAATTAAAACGACTTCGAAGAAGAAGAAGAGTTTTATGAATGTAGTTGAGACATGCTTACTGTGGTGAAAAAGACTGTGATTAAGGATACATAAACAAGCAAGTACTTAAGACATATAATACAGACACATTTTGGTCCTGAGACTTGGTTCACTTCAAGGTCCCAGTAATATGAACAATCCCTTCTTACTGGAGATACTTAATAACCAGGATCTTGGTATAAAGACACAGATAGCAAGAGGAGACTTATTGGTAGAGCACATAATGTTTCACCTACGTGTGACTCTGTCAAGACTTAACAAAATCTCGTGTAAGTGAAACTTTCTTCTTTCTTCCAACACACCGGCCGTATCCCACCGAGGCAGGGTGGCCCAAAATGAAAAACGAAAGTTTCTCCTGTTACATTTAGTAATATATACAGGAGAAGGGGTTACTAGCCCCTTGCTCCCAGCATTTTAGTGGCCTCTTACGACAAGCATGGCTTACGGAGGAAGAATTTCATTCCACTTCCCCATGGAGATAAGAGGAAATAAACAAGAATTAGTAAGAAAATAGAAGAAAACCCAGAGGGGTGTGTATATATATGCTTGTACAAGCATGTGTAGTGTGACCTAAGTGTGTAAGTGAAACATCATGGTAATACAGGTCTCCTCTGTGTATGTTTCTTTTTACCACCTGCTGACAATGCCATACTTCAAGTGGGATCTTATAATTTTAGGTATAACTTACTATAGGTGGATGAAATACCAAATCCAAATGTTTTATTGAAATGTTTCTAGCTAGAGTTCGTCACGGCCACGCTGGCAGGAGATTCATCTGTAAAAACTTGCATTTGCGGTCACAGTGGTGCCTTTGCTAACCTTCCTATGGTGTAGAAATATACCTAGTTGGATGAATCTTATTGTATCCAGCTGGCATAGTCACTAACGCATTGTTTTACAACTCACTCACCACCCGTACCGTGGTTTGTTTGCAATCAGATCATTACAATCTCATTTCTGTGCATAGCTGTATTAAGTCATGATTTGATAAAGCTCTATACAGAGCACATCTTTGTCTCAAGCCAGCATTAAGCCAGCAGACTGCTGAACAAGCCAGACTGGGAAACACCCTAAAGCTTATATTTACAAACAATGAGGACCTGGTCCAGGACATAACTGTGTCAAAGACTGTAGTCTCAGACTACATCACAAGAAGAGGTTCAGACCTACATACACGGTGGTCTGGAACAGAAAAACACAAATACTCAAAAGGGCAAATTTAACAAATTCAATTTCAACAAGAACACCAATTAGGACCAAAAAATCATGACCTAAATAAGATGTGCTGAGAAAACAACTTAATAAGATGTAAACGAGTTACAGGAAGATGAGCTCTTTGGCACTCAAAGTATGTGCCAGATACATAACGTACAGCATAGGATTTGAAGATGCAAACTCAAGGGAGAGATGCTCCCTCTACAGGCAATGACAATGAATAACATGTTTTCTGAAAGGCAGCAGGCTCTGTGAAGCACAGAAGGAAACTCTGGCAGATATACAGTAAATAAAGTTTTCCACTGGGCCTCAGATAATATTATAATGATTAACGAGGACAAGTTTCTGTTGTTCTTCTACAGAAGAATGGAGGAAACAGACTGTAAAGGGGTACAGGACAAACTCAAATCATTCAACAGAGTGAGACTTGGCACTAAAGCTCTCAGAAGATATCTCATTCAAAGATCACTATAATGTTGCCACTGCTACTGAAAGGAAAATGATAGGATGGATAATTAGAACTTTCAAGACAAGGGATACTGAACCAATGATGACACTCTTCAAATCACTTGTTCCCCCCAGGCTGGAATACTGCTGTATACACTAACAACTCTCTTTAAGGTTGGTGAGACTGCTGAGCTATTAAACATTTACTGCCACAAATAGGTACTCCTCACTTAACGACCAAGTCCGTTCCTAAGAGTAGGTCGGTAAGCAAATTGATCATTAAGCGAGGAGCCGCCCTTACCGATATTTCAAGCATATTATACTGGTAGTGGGTTTGTGTCAACCATCTTTAGATATTGCTTTAATGTCACTTTTACACCATTCATAACATTTCTAGTACAGTGGACCCCCGGTTAACGAACTTTTTTCATTCCAGTAGTATGTTCAGGTGCCAGTACTGACCGAATTTTTTCCCATAAGGAATATTGTGAAGTAGATTAGTCCATTTCAGACCCCCAAACATACACGTACAAACGCACTTACATAAATACACTTACATAATTGGTCGCATTTGGAGGTGATCGTTAAGCGGGGGTCCACTGTATATTAAAAATAGAACTAGACATTTAAAGCAATAAAAAAGTAAAATAAACATACAGTACATTCATTACTTACCTTAAAATATTTGTAATCTTAATGTAGGGTGAGAGGTGAGTAATACTTATTGTAGGAAGAGGAAGAAGAGGAGGAAAGAATGGAAGCTAGTGTGTCCTCAAGTTTGTATTGTGGTAAAAGCTTTACACACGCATCTAAAATAAACCAGCGTGAACCAACCGTAAGTGTACGGGAATTAATATGCTTTGTCTTTGTTTACATTCTCGGCATCTCTCTCTTTTTTTTTTTTTTTTTTTTACACAGGGTTTGAAAAGGTTAGGCTAAAGATCTCTAGCTTTATTGACAAGCTATTTACAGGTTAAGGGTTCCCAACTTTATTGACAAGCTAAGAGCTGTTACCTACATCAGCTCATTTGAAAACATTTTTATTGTTATGAAACATACAGGTAGGAAACAGGATGAAGCTGGAGCCATCTGTGGGCCAGCATTTTCATTTGATCAACTGATTTTATCTTGTCAACATCATAATGCTGTACGAATGTGTTCCATACTCAAGTCATCCTGGGGATAAATGATCTCAGATAAAGTGATGTTCTGGAGAAGGGTACAGCCAGAGTGAAGTTGCTGCTTTCTGCCCGTTTTGTGGTATAGAAGCTTGCTTCACGCTGTCCTCGAAGTGGATCCAAGTGTGGTCTCTTTCTCATTTCACTCTCTCATTCTCTCTCTCTCATTCTCTCTCTCTCATTCTCTCTCTCTCATTCTCTCTCTCTCATTCTCTCTCATTCTCTCTCTCTCATTCTCTCTCTCTCATTCTCTCTCTCTCATTCTCTCTCTCTCATTCTCTCTCTCTCATTCTCTTCTCATTCTCTCTCATTCTCTCTCTCTCATTCTCTCTCTCTTTATTCTCTCTCTCTCATTCTCTCTCTCTCATTCTCTCTCTCTCATTCTCTCTCATTCTCTCTCTCTCATTCTCTCTCTCTCTCTCATTCTCTCTCTCTCTCTCATTCTCTCTCTCTCATTCTCTCTCTCTCATTTCTCTCTCTCATTCTCTCTCTCATTCTCTCTCTCATTCTCTCTCTCTCTCATCTCTCTCTCTTCTCTCTCTATCTCTCTCTCTCTTCATTCTCTCCTCTCTCATTCTCTCTCTCTTCTCTTCTCTCTCTCTTTATTCCTCTCTCTCTCTCTCTCTCTCTCTCTCTCTCTCTTCTCTCTCTTCTCTCATTCTCTCTCTCTCATTTCTCTCTCTCTCTCATTCTCTTCTCTCTCTCATTCTCTCTCTCTCTCATTCTCTCTTCTCTCTCATTCTCTCTCTCTCATTTCTCTCTCTCTCATTCTCTCTCTCTCATTCTCTCTCTCATCTTCTCTCCATTCTCTCTCTCTCATTCTCTCTTCTCATTTCTCTCTCTATTCTCTCTCTTCATTCATCTCTCCATTCTCTCTCATTTCTCTCTCTCATCTCTCTTCTTATTTCTCTCTCTTCTTTTTCTCTCTCTTCTCTTCTCTTCTCTCATTGACAATGGCAATCTCCAAGACTACATCTGTCATCTAAAAATTTGTACTTTACTGTGCACCCGAGTTGGAAGTGCAGCAGCACTTGGAAGAGGAAGAAGAAGGAAGAATGGAAGAAGTAAATAAGAAATTCACTGTAAAGGGGTTAGCTGTTTTTTGTCTGTGTTTATATTCTCGGCATCTCTTTCGTTTTCTATTTCATTATTAAACTCAGTGAATAAGGTATGTCGATGGTAATACAGTGGACCCCCGCATAACGATGGCATCACATAGCGATTATTTCGCATACCGCTTACTTTAATCGCAAAATTTTTGCCGCGCATACCGATTAAAAACCCGCTCACCGATTTTCGTCCGAGACGCGTCCAATGTGCGCCCTCACCCAGCCTCACATGTGCCGCCCGTGCCATTGTTTACCAGGCAGCCTCCGCGCTAACATCCAAGCATACACTCGGAATATTTCGTATTATTACAGTGTTTTCGGTGGTGTTTCTGGAAAATAAGTGACCATGGGCCCCAAGAAAGCTTCTAGTGCCAACCCTGTGGTAAAAAGGGTGAGAATTAGTATGGAAATTAAGAAAGATTTTGAAGGGTTTGGGGCTAACCCTGACAAGCCTATGCCAGTTGTGGAATCCATTGTGCCTACTTCAAAGATTAAGGAAATGTGTGCACAGTGGGTTGAACTGCAAACCTTTATGGATGAAAATCACCCTGACACAGCTGTTGCAAGCCGTGCTGGTGACTATTTCAATGACAATGTTGTGGCCCATTTTAGACAAATCGTAAAGGAACGGGAGGTACAGAGCTCTATGGACAGATTTGTTGTGCGACAGAGGTCCAGTGACTCTCAAGCTGGTCCTAGTGGCATTAAAAGAAGAAGGGAAGTAACCCGGAAAAGGACTTGCTACCTCAAGTCCTAATGGAAGGGGATTCCCTTCTAAACAGTAAGAAGATAATGCTCTCCCCTCCTCCCATCCCATCAATCATCACCAGATCTTCAATAAAAGTAAGTGTCATGTAAGTGTGCATGCCTTTTTCAGTTTGTGTGTATTAAAATTAACATTTCATGTGGTAAAAAATTTTTTTTTTCATACTTTTGGGTGTCTTGCACGGATTAATTTTATTTCCATTATTTCTTATGGGGAAAATTCATTCACATAACGATTATTTCGCATAACAATTACCCCTCTTGCACGGATTAAAATCGTTAACCGGGGGTCCACTGTACTAATAATTAATAATTAATAATAATAATCCCTCTGGGGTAGGTTTGGCAGCTTGGTGAGCTACCAAACCTACATGAAATATGTGATGTTTAAACCACCCCAGAAAGATTATTAATATTATTAATCATTATTATTACCATTGACATACCTTGTTCACTGAGTTTAATAATTTCTAACACCAACCCTTACAAGAAATTGTAAACGAAAGAGATGCCGAGAATGTAAATACACAAACGAGTGCACAGTGTGTACTTCATCTATTCTTTCCTCTTCTTCCTCTTCCAAATGCTGCTGAATTTCCAACTCTATCTTGTACTATAGGGTACAAAATAAAATACAAATTTTTTTTATATTTTTATTAACACACTAGCCGATTCCCACCAAGGCAGGGTGGCCCGAAAAAGAAAAACTTTCATCATCATTCACTCCATCACTGTCTTGCCAGAAGGGTGCTTTACACTACAGTTTTTAAACTGCAACATTAACACCCCTCCTTCAGAGTGCAGGCACTGTACTTCCCATCTCCAGGACTCAAGTCCGGCCTGCCGGTTTCCCTGAATCCCTTCATAAATGTTACTTTGCTCACACTCCAACAGCACGTCAAGTATTAAAAACCATTTGTCTCCATTCACTCCTATCAAACATGCTCACGCATGCCCGCTGGAAGTCCAAGCCCCTCGCACACAAAACCTCCTTTACCCCCTCCCTCCAACCTTTCCTAGGCCGACCCCTACCCCGCCTTCCTTCACAATAGACTGATACACTCTTGAAGTCATTCTGTTTCGCTCCATTCTCTTACATGTCCGAACCACCTCAACAACCCTTCCTCAGCCTCTGGTACAACAGTTTTGGTAATCCCGCACCTCCTCCTAACTTCCAAATTACGAATTCTCTGCATTATATTCACACCACACATTGCCTTCAGACATGACATCTCCACTGCCTCCAGCCTTCTCCTCGCTGCAACATTCATCACCCATGCTTCACACCCATACAAGAGCATTGGTAAAACTATACTCTCATACATTCCCCTCTTTACCTCCAAGGACAAAGTTCTTTGTCTCCACAGACTCCTAAGTGCACCACTTACCCTTTTCCTCTCATCAATTCTATGATTCACCTCATCTTTCATAGACCCATCCACTGACACGTCCACTCCCAAATATCTGAATACATTCACCTCCTCCATACTCTCTCCCTCCAATCTGATATCCAATCTTTCATCACCTAATCTTTTTGTTATCCTCATAACCTTACTCTTTCCTGTATTCACTTTTAATTTTCTTCTTTTGCATACCCTACCAAATTCATCAACCAACATCTGCAACTTCTCTTCAGAATCTTCCAAGAGCACAGTGTCATCAGCAAAAAGCACCTGTGACAACTCCCACTTTATGTGTGATTCTTTATCTTTTAACTCCACGCCTCTTGCCAAGACCCTCGCATTTACTTCTCTTACAACCCCATCTATAAATATATTAAACAACCATGGTGACATCACACATCCTTGTCTAAGGCCTACTTTTACTGGGAAATAATCTCCCTCTTTCCTACATACTCTAACTTGAGCCTCACTATCCTCGTAAAAACTCTTCACTGCTTTCAGTAACCTACCTCCTACACCATACACCTGCAACATCTGCCACATTGCCCCCCTATCCACCCTGTCATACGCCTTTTCCAAATCCATAAATGCCACAAAACCTCTTTAGCCTTATCTAAATACTGTTCACTTATATGTTTCACTGTAAACACCTGGTCCACACACCCCTACCTTTCCTAAGGCCTCCTTGTTCATCTGCTATCCTATTCTCCGTCTTACTCTTAATTCTTTCAATAATAACTCTACCATACACTTTGCCAGGTATAGTCAACAGACTTATCTCCCTATAATTTTTGCACTCTCTTTTGTCCCCTTTGCCTTTATACAAAGGAACTATGCATGCTCTCTGCCAATCCCTAGGTACCTTACCCTCTTCCATACATTTATTAAATAATTGCACCAACCACTCCAAAACTATATCCCCACCTGCTTTTAACATTTCTATCTTTATCCCATCAATCCCGGCTGCCTTACCCCCTTTCATTTTACCTACTGCCTCACGAACTTCTCCCACACTCACAACTGGCTCTTCCTCACTCCTAGAAGATGTTATTCCTCCTTGCCCTATACACAAAATCACAGCTTCCCTATCATCATCAACATTTAACAATTCCTCAAAATATTCCCTCCATCTTCCCAATACCTCTAACTCTCCATTTAATAACTCTCCTCTCCTATTTTTAACTGACAAATCCATTTGTTCTCTAGGCTTCCTTAACTTGTTAATCTCACTCCAAAACTTTTTCTTATTTTCAAAAAAATTTGTTGATATCTCACCCACTCTCTCATTTGCTCTCTTTTTACATTGCTTCACCACTCTCTTTCTCCATATACTCTTCCCTCCTTGTATCACTTCTACTTTGTAAAACCTTTCATATGCTAACTTTTTCTCCCTTACTACTCTCTTTACATCATCATTCCACCAATCGCTCCTCTTCCCCCAGCACCCACTTTCCTGTAACCACAAACTTCTGCTGAACACTAACACTACATTTTTAAACCTACCCCATACCTCTTCGCCCCCATTGCCTTGCTCTCATTAGCCCATCTATCCTCCAATAGCTGTTTATATCTTACCCTAACTGCCTCCTCTTTTATTTTATAAACCTTTGCCTCTCTTCCCTGATGCTTCTATTCTCCTTGTACCCCATCTACCTTTTACTCTCAGTGTAGCTACAACTAAAAAGTGATCTGTTTATATCTGTGGCCCCTCTATAAACATGTACATCCTGAAGTCTACTCAACAGTCTTTTATCTACCAATACATAATCCAAACAAATTTACTGTCATTTCGCCCCTACATCTATCTTGTATACTTATTTATCCTCTTTTTCTTAAAATATGTATTACCTATAACTAAACCCCTTTCTATAAAAAGTTCAATAAAGGGCTCCATTATCATTTACCCTGGCACCCAAACTTACCTACCACACCCTCTCTAAAAGTTTCTCCTACTTAAGCATTCAGGTCCCCTACCACAATTACTCTCTCACTTGGTTCAAAGGTTCCTATACATTCACTTAACATCTCCCAAATCTCTCTCTCTCCTCTACTTTCTCTTTTCTCCAGGTGCATACACGCTTATTATGCCCACTTTTCGCATCCAACCTTTACTTTAATGCACATAATCCTTGAATTTACACATTCATATTCTCTTTTCTCCTTCTATAACTGATCCTTCACCATTACTGCTACCCGTTCCTTAGCTCTCTCTCAGATACTCCAGATTTAATCCCATTTATTTCCCCCCACCGAAACTCCCCTACCCCCTTCAGCTTTGTTTCGCTTAGGGCCAGGACATCCAACTTCTTTTCATTCATAACATCAGCAATCATCTGTTTCTTGTCATCCGCACTACATCCACGCACATTCAAGCATCCCAGTTTTATAAAGTTTTTCTTCTTCTCTTTTTTAGTAAAAATACAAATAGAAATACAAATTTATAGACAAAATATGTAATTTTGGAGATTGCTCGACACTCAGACACTTCACTGCCATTTCCAAGACAGAAGTTCTTGTACAGCATACAATACCGACTGGTCAGAGAGAACTGGTTGCAAGTCAGAGTGGTTGTTAAACAGGTAGGCTGTTAAGTGAGGAATGCCTGTACATTCAAACATCTGAACTACTGGGAACTCTTAAGTCTCTTCAATTGTATTCCTTGGAATGTAAGTGAGAAAGGAACATCACCATGCAAAATACCTCCAATAAAAAAACAGGGGCACAATAAGTACACTAAGAGAGAATGCAATGAGTGTCAGAGATCCCAAACAATTTAATGCCCTTGAAAAGTTTCTCAGATCAGTTCCTGATCAGCTGGGCTGTGGTATGCACACTGGACAGTGTGTGGCCAGCAGTAACAGCCTGGTTGATCAGATCTTTATCAACCAGGAGACCTGGTCTGGGACTGGGCCATGGAGGCACTGACCTCCAAAAGCATCCATTGGGTATCCTTCAGGTGACAGAAGCTTTTTCTGCATTTGTCTCTGTTTAAAAACTAACTGAAGTTAAACTCTTTATTAATGCATTAATGGGAGGAGGAAGGTGGTTGGTAATGGTGATTGGGGGGGATGATGGAAATAAGACAACTCTGCAATCAACGGACTTTGTTATTTCCAAATCAGATGACCCAGCACATTCTGTCCTCTATTTCCAAAGACCATTAAATGGAGGGCTTCTATTAATCTTATGACTTATTGGTAGTTTGTCCAAAGTGATTTGCATCTAACTTTATAAACTCTACATAAAGGGGCCCCTTGTATGCTGTACATGTATTCCACTATTTAAGCATGGGTGACTTGAACCTTGTGGAACTAAAATATTTATTTACTGTTTACTTACTGACATTATTGCTAGCACTCACTGTGAAAGTTACGCTGTAAGAATATTTGATCTCTATTTTGTTCTTGAATTCTGCACTGATGCCCATGACCTCTGCTGTATCACACGAGTCTTCATCTTTACCCCCTGCTATATGTTTAATACTTCTTGGCATGACACGCACAGCTGAAACATTAAGTAAATATGAGGCCAACAAGCAAGCAAACTTTATAAATAGCACCCTTATACTGATGGAACTGGACATGAATGCATTCCGTTATACCGACATTAACTTCCTGTATCTACACCATCTCTTTCAATTGTCCTATAAACTTAAGAAATCCTACCTAACTGAAGATCAATGAATCAGTGTGAAGAATTAATATATACTTAAAACTGTACTACTGTTCACTTAGCTACTTAATAACCCATGTCTAGTTCTTAAGTAGTCTTTATGCAATAGAACTGCAACATATGATAGTGGCTAGGGTGTTCGGGAGAGGGGTGAGATTAAATTTTGGGGAATCAAATTCAAAATGGGAATTGACACAGTTACTTTTTGCTGATGATACTGTGCTTATGGGAGATTCTAAAGAAAAATTGCAAAGGTTAGTGGATGAGTTTGGGAATGTGTGTAAAGGTAGAAAGTTAAAAGTGAACAAAGAAAAGAGTAAGGTGATGAGGGTGTCAAATGATTTAGATAAAGAAAAATTGGATATCAAATTGGGGAGGAGTATGGAAGAAGTGAATGTTTTCAGATACTTGGGAGTTGACGTGTCGGCGGTTGGATTTATGAAGGATGAGGTTAATCATAGAATTGATGAGGGAAAAAAGGTGAGTGGTGCGTTGAGGTATATGTGGAGTCAAAAAACGTTATCTATGGAGGCAAAGAAGGGAATGTATGAAAGTATAGTAGTACCAACACTCTTATATGGGTGTGAAGCTTGGGTGGTAAATGCAGCAGCAAGGAGACGGTTGGAGGCAGTGGAGATGTCCTGTCTAAGGGCAATGTGTGGTGTAAATATTATGCAGAAAATTCGGAGTGTGGAAATTAGGAAAAGGTGTGGAGTTAATAAAAGTATTAGTCAGAGGGCAGAAGAGGGGTTGTTGAGGTGGTTTGGTCATTTAGAGAGAATGGATCAAAGTAGAATGACATGGAAAGCATCATATAAATCTATAGGGGAAGGAAGGCGGGGTAGGGGTCATCCTCAAAAGGGTTGGAGAGAGGGGGTAAAGGAGGTTTTGTGGGCAAGGGGCTTGGACTTCCAGCAAGCGTGCATGAGCGTGTTAGATAGGAGTGAATGGAGACGAATGGTACTTGGGACCTGACGATCTGTTGGAGTGTGAGCAGGGTAATATTTAGTGAAGGGATTCAGGGAAACCGGTTATTTTCATATAGTCGGACTTGAGTCCTGGAAATGGGAAGTACAATGCCTGCACTTTAAAGGAGGGGTTTGGGATATTGGCAGTTTGGAGGGATATGTTGTGTATCTTTATATGTGTATGCTTCTAAACTGTTGTATTCTGAGCACCTCTGCAAAAACAGTGATAATGTGCGAGTGGGGTGAAAGTGTTGAATGATGATGAAAGTATTTTCTTTTTGGGGATTTTCCTTCTTTTTTGGGTCACCCTGCCTCGGTGGGAGACGGCCGACTTGTTGAAAAAAAAAAAAAAACTGCGTTATTTGTATACTGCAGAAAATAAATTTGTACTTGTATTAAGATGTTATGTGCCATGGACCTCATTCACTTCAAGTACATTCAAGGTCCAAGGACAGAACTGTCTTCAGTAAAGGTGTGGAAATTTTTTTAATTTTCCTAAATTCAGCACGTATGAATTTGAATAATATAATAATTAAGTATTAAATGTGATGTTGATTTGACCCTTCGATAAATTTTATGTGAATGAGGGTGCAGCAGCCGCGGAGTAATACACGCGAGATGCCATAATTAATTTATGTGTACACTGCTTTGTGCTAATGGTGAAGTTTAATCCGGCAACATCAAGGCCACAATTGAGAGGATCGGCCTGAACTTGTAACTGGAACCTTTATTAATGACCTCCTGCTGAAGAATAGGAACAGGAACAAGCCTGCGTGGTGCTCCGTGGCCTGGTGGTTAAAGCTCTCGCTTCACACGGTGAGTGTGGGGGTTCAATTCCCAGTGAGGGTAGCACTGGGTGTGTTTCTTTACACTGGTTGTCTATGTTCCCCATCAGTAAAATGGAAACCTGGGTGTTAGTCAACTGGTTTGGTTCACATCCTGGGACAAAACTGACCTGATTTGCCCAAAATGCTCTGCATAACAAGCAGCTTTCTATACAGCAGTATGTCACTGATGTCAGCTAGGCCTGTATACCTTGTACATGTACTTGTTGAAATGAAGATATTATTATTATTGTTATTATTATCATTGTTGTTATTATAACAGGGTGATGAGAATGGAAAATGAATGATCCAGCATCATCGTAGCTCACCCCAGGGAAGTACGCCATTTACTTAACAGTCTACACTGACTGGCCAGTTATTCTATTTGTTATGTAGGCATTAGGGTGTGTTGCACCAGCAATATGCATCTTCCAGTAATTAAATGGTGAGTGTTCAGGTTAAATTTTCCTTTCTTTCTATTGGTATAATTTGCACGAATCAGTAGTTAGATGTTGTGGACCCATCGAACCATTTACAAGTCATAAACCCAATAAAAAGATGTCCTTTTAATTGTCAGCAGTCATTTGCCTTCTTACTACAATCTACATTAAACTCAACAAATTAAATGGTTTGCAATAATGAAGTTTAAAATTCATCTACTACCCGAGGGTTATTAAGACTGCACATAACCTGTTCACTTCCAGTCAAAAATTTACATTAACACCTAAAATAGGGATTAAAGTAAACTCAAGTGTATATACAGAGCATTTACACCTCTTGGCATATATACACAGAGATTTACACTTCTTGGTATATGTACACAGAGCATTACACCTCTTCGTATATATACACAGCATTACACTTCTTGGTATATATAGCATTACACTTCTTGGTATATATACACAGAGCATTACACCTCTTGGTATATATACACAGGCACACACATCTAATATACATACACCTCTTGGTGTATATACACTGAGACACACCTCTCAGCACATATACACTGAGAAACATACACCTCTTGGTGTATATACAGAGATATACACCTCTTGGTGTATATACAGAGATATACACCTCTTGGTGTATATACAGAGATATACACCTCTTGGTGCATATACAGAGATATACACCTCTTGGTGTATATACAGAGATATACACCTCTTGGTGTATATACAGAGATATACACCTCTTGGTGTATATACAGAGATATACACCTCTTGGTGTATATACAGAGATATACACCTCTTGGTGTATATACAGAGATATACACCTCTTGGTGTATATACAGAGATATACACCTCTTGGTGTATATACAGAGATATACACCTCTTGGTGTATATACAGAGATACACACCTCTTGGTGTATATACAGAGATATACACCTCTTGGTGTATATACAGAGATATACACCTCTTGGTGTATATACAGAGTATACACCTCTTGTTTATACAGAATATACACCTCTTGGTGTATATACAGATATATACACCTCTTGGTGTGGGCTTTAATTAAAAGCCCATTTTAGGAGATTTACTCTATTTCTTGGATAATAAAATACGTATAACCAGGAATGATTGGTCATGCTCTACTACCAGTGTTAATGTATCAACACATGGTCTACTACAAGTATTAATGTATCAACACATGGTGTAATATCTATTTTAATGTATAACCATGGATATCCTAGGATACATAATTTACTCTCTATGATAATGCATCACATTATCAGTAATGTTCGACACAATTACTCACAGAGAATGCGTCCTCCGGGACCATTGAGAGAAGCGCCCCAATCTTCATTGTCACCACTATGGTAGGTGATGTTCAGGTCCACGTGGTTGAAAATGTAGTAGGTGCTGGGATCTTTGTAGCGTTTCTGTAGCAAGGAAATGACAACTCTGGTCAACGGTTGATGGTGGGTTTATGGGATTTATGACCTAGCTACTATACAAGGCTTATTAAGGCTACGTGCAACCTTTTCACCACCAGACAAGAATACTTCAATCTCTAAAATAGGAATTAAAGTGAATTCTCAGCATATATACATTGAAATCTTTCACACTTGTTTTGGCAACGTTTCTGATATGTGCTGGTAGCAGGATGAACAGTGTTAAACCATGCATGTTGACAAAATGTTCTCTTATTGTGCCCGTGATTCCCCCCACTTTCACTGAGCCTATTTTACACTTCCATCCATATTTCTCATTTAATACATTGTAATGATAGTGTGAAGATCTGGACTAGGCCCTTAAGTATCTTTCACATAAATATTACATCTTCACTCCTGAGAATACATTTCAAGTGCTTTCAGGCATTCCCACTAGTTTAAATGTTACATTTATTGTTTGTAGGCAGTAAATGACCTCTGTACATTTTGCAGATCTGCTCCCTCTCCTGCCTTGATAAGTAGTGTGAGCCTGTTAGTCTTAATTCTCCTGAAGAAAAAAATGAGAGAACTAAAAATATAGTGAAACAAAAAAAAAAAATCTTACAAATAAAATGGTAAAAACAAAAGCATTCAGTGCAAAAAAAATCAATAATAATACAGTAGGGTCCCATATCCAAGGGGGATACATTCCAAGGACCTGCTGTGGATACCAAAACCATGGATAGCAGCAAGTAAGTCTTATTATAAAATTTAATTGATAAAGTATGCACAATAAGTGGAGAATTATCACTTTTTCACCGGTAGGAAGCACTTCACTCCTCCTCTTAGGCTTTGAAGAAACTGCTCTAAGGCCATTATTATATCAAATTATGAGGTATTTTTGGGACACAGTAAACCATGGATAACTGAAACCGCAGATACCGAATCAGTGGATACAAGGGTGTAAATGTTGCAGTTTTTTAACTGTAGTGTTAGTGAACCTCTGGTAAGACAGTGTTGGAGTGAATGATGAAAGTTTTTCTTTTTCGGGTCACCCTACTTGGTGGGAGACAGCCGATGTGTTAAAAGAAAAAAAAACAAAAAAAAAACGATAATTTTTTTATTAATACATCGGACATTTCCCACCAAGGCAAGGTAACCCGAAAAAGAAGAAACACTTTCATGATCATTCACTCCATTACTGTCTTGCCAGATGTGTGCCTACACTAAAGTTAAAAAACGGCAATATATCAACACCCGTCCTTCAGAGAGCAGGCACTGTACTTCGCACTTCCCAGACTCAAGTCCGGTTAACCAGTTTCCCTGAACCCCTGAACTGTGTCACGCTCCAACAACACATCAAGTCATAAAAGCCATCTGTCTCTACTCACTCCTATCTAACACACTCATGCACGTTTGCTGGAAGTCCAATCCCCTCACACACAAAACCTTCTTTACCCTTCCATCCAACCATTCCTCCTTACCCTGTCTTCCTTCCACTTTAGATTTATATGCCCTCCAAGTCATTCTATTTTGTTAAATCCTTTCTAAATGTACAAACCACCTCAACAAACCCTCCTCAGTCCTTAGAATAATATTTCTGTAAATCCCACATTCCCTTCTGATCTCCAAGCTATGGATTCTCTGCATTATATTCACACTGCGCATTGCCCTCAGACACAACATCTCTGCCTCCAGCCTTCTCCTTGCTGCAACATTCACCAACAATGCTTCACACCCATATAAGAGCATTGGTACCACTATACTTTCATGCATTTCCCTCTTTGTTTCCATGGATAACGTTCTTCATCTCTCCAGACTCCTTAGTGCTCCACTCACCCTTTTCCCTTCATTTATTCTAATAATAATAATAGCCAGAGGGCTGAGGAGATTTTGAGGTGGTCTGGATATCTAGAGAGGAAGGAACAAAACAGGATGACTTGGAGGGTGTATAAATCTGTGGTGGAGGAAAGGCAGGATAGGGGTTGTCCTAGGAAAGGTTGGAAGGAGGGGGCAAAGAAAGCTTAATGTGCAGGAGCTTAGATATCCAACAGGCATTGGCAAATATGTTAGATAGGACTAAGAGAAGGCAAGTGGTTTTTATGATTTAACATGCTGTTGGAGTGTGAGCAAGGAAACATTTATTATGGGATCTACAAAAAATGGTTAGCACGACTCGAGTCCTGGAGGTGGGAACTACAGTGCCTTAACTTAGAAAGAGGGGTGGAGATACTGCAATTCTGGAGGGGCATCTAGACTACAGTATCAGCATGCCTATGGCAAGACAGTAGTGGGGTGAGTGATGGTGAAAGTGTTCCTTCTTTTCTGGGTCACCCTACCTCAGTGGGAGATGGCAGGTGTAAAAAAAAACAAAAGTTAATAAAAATTACACTGCAGACTTACATCCATGACACAGGCATCCTTGGGCCGCTTGACATTGTCAACAAAACATCCAACAGGAAAGCCGGTGGCACAGAACACACTGCCACCTTCCACTAAGTAACACCAGGTCACAGGCATGTTGTCTGCAAGACACAAAAATTAAGTAGTTTCACCTTGTTGATCCAGTGGCATAGCTAGGATTTTTTGGTACCTAGGGTAAATCATCCCACTGCCATCCCTCTAACCTAAACTTCCCATGTGATGGATATCAACCTTGCACGTGAAAATCTGTTAGTACAGTATTTGGAAACATTTATTTATTCTCGGTAATACATAATATAAATTTCTGATTTTTCGTAGAGGCGTAAAAAAAATATGTGCTTCCATGCAAACAAACTACAGTATATAACTTTTGCTACAGTATGTATTAATTACCATTTATAATTTGCAGCTTATAATTATACCCACGTAAGTGCTTTGTAAATTTATATACATGTACTGTACCTGTTTAGATTTTGTGAGCAAAAGTTATAATATGTTGAGTATTAAGAACATCAAGAAAGAAGGAACATTGCAGCAGCCTTACTGGCACATGCAAGGCAGGTCCAATTCTTCTACCAGCTTAAGCCAATGCCCTACCCTAGTCAGGTCAGGTCACACTCACTTAAGGAAGGAGCACGGCATCTGACCTAGTAGCACAAGCTAGTCAGGTCAAACTCACACCCACTCACACCCACTCATGTATTTATCTAATCTATTTTTAAAACTACACAACGTCTTAGTTTCTATGACGGTACTCGGGAGCTTGTTCCATTCATCCACAACTCTTACCAAACCAGTGCTTTCCTTTATCCTTCCTGAATCTGAATTTTTCAAACTTGAAACCATTGCTGCGAGTCCTGCCTTGGCTAGATATTTTTAGCACGCTATTTACATCCTCTTTATTTATTCCTGTTTTCCATTTATACACCTCAATTATATCCCCCCCCTAATTCTACGTCTTTCTAGAGAGTGCAGATTCAGGGCCCTCAGTATTAGTCACAATATGTTGTATATTAGTCACAATACATATGTCGTGCATTAGTCACAATATCTTGTGTATTGGTCACAATATCTTGTGTATTAGTCATAATATGTTGTGTATTCCTAGGTAGTAGGTTGGTAGACAGCAACCGCCCAGGGAGGTACTACCGTCCTGCCAAGTGTAAAATGGAAATCTGTAATTGTTTTACATGATGGTAGGATTGCTGGTGTCTTTTTTCTGTCTCACAGACATGCAAGATTTCAGGTACGTCTTGCTACTTCTTCTTACACTTAGGTCACACTACACATACATGTACAAGCATATATATACATACCCCTCTGGGTTTTCTTCTATTTTCTTTCTAGTTCTTGTTCTTGTCTATTTCCTCTTATCTCCATGGGGAAGTGGAACAGAATTCTTCCTTCGTAAGCCATGCGTGTCGTAAGAGGCGACTAAAATGCCGGGAGCAAGGGGCTAGTAACCCCTTCTCCTGTATAAATTAATAAATTTAAAAAGAGAAACTTTCGTTTTTCTTTTTGAGCCACCCCGCCTCTGTGGGATACAGCCAGTTTGTTGAAAAAACAAAAATGTTGTGTATTAGTCACAAATAAAGCGTTGTTATATTTTCATAATAATTTATCAGTGTTAAGAAATTTGATCAAATTATGAAGAAAATAATAGCTATTAACTTTCAAATTTTCAGACTGTCCTGTCTTTTCAAGTATAAATCATACACAAATGTTTCCATTTAATATTTCTCTTTGCTTTAACCCTTTGAGGGTCGACAGGCCCTCTCCGAGACTCGTTCTTAGGGTCGGCCAAATTAAAAAAAAAAAAATTCTTATGAAAAGATAGAGAATCTTTTCCCGATCATAATGACACCAAAAGTATGAAATTTGATGGAAAACTTACGGAATTATGCTCTTGCGAAGTTAGCGGTCTCAGAGATGTTTACGCATCGGCGATTTTGACCAGTTTGAGCCCCATTTTCGGCCAATTCCACTGTACTAGTCGACAAAACAAAAAACATGAATATTTCGCTAGAACTCCATTTTTTCTATCAAATGAGTGCAAGAAACCACCCATTTACCGATTTCAACTATCCAGTACAGTGGTCAGAATTTAGCAATTTTGCCAATTTCACACAAATTTCAAAAGATGCCAATTTCCGAACAGGGTCCAGAATAAACAAGAAAGACATTCCTGGCACGAAAATGACATTTCCTCTGTTCATTAGTCACGTCTCAAGGCCCCTCTTACATTCTTTTGCTTTCCACTTTGAATTTTTATTCTCACAAAAAATAGAAGATTTACCGTTATGCAGACTACTGCATTAGTGTAAAAAATGATATAAATAATATTGGCGCACTTGCGAAAGAATATTAGACTCACCAGTTGACGTGTATTGGACGCTTGGCATGATTTGTTTACTTTTGAACTTCGGTAAAAATCGAACATTTCTGCTGCTTTGAGCTCAATTTCAAGGTACTTTTCGTTGTAAAACCAGTCAAAATCATCTCAATTTCTGTAATATGTCTTCCATTCTATAAAATGAGACCAAGAAAACTAGAATACAGCAATAAATACCATACGAAAATACAGTGCAAAGTCGCTGTTTTAGTCCCAAAAAACGGTCAAAGTTTTTTTTTCCTCATTATGCACTGTGTGCTGCAGGATTTTTTTATACTGTGCACACTGACCACATAGACCCATTCTTTCATATGTAGGCCTATCAGCTTTCTCCCACTAGATTTGAGGGCGCTAGAATTTAGGCATACTAGTACATCAAAAACCCTGGGTCGTAAGCCGTACTAGTACGGCCGAAACCCTCAAAGGGTTAAACTACTAAACTATAATTGCAACAGTTAGCTCATGCATGTATAATACTCTCAATGTGGCTTGATACTGTTGGTATCCAAGTACCATTATTGCACTGGAAGTAAAAGAAATTTAAAATAGACATTATTTCTCTACATTTGTTTAGTTGGTCACAAATTACTCTTCTTAAACAGTTTCACCAATATTCGAAACTGACAGTTTTTTTACTATATGGCTGCAAACTCTTTGATATTATTAGCAGGAGCATCAAGCAACTTTTTTCAGGGGATCCATCACTTTTCTGATCTTTCTTATAGTGGCAGCCGTCTTAGAGCTCCATTTGTTATCAGACATGAACACCAACGAAAGTGAGTGCTTGTCACAGGGGACAAAACCTGCCATTAGGTTCAGATCTAAAATTAACTTCTGAACACCCAAATCAACACCAGCCACTGATGATTGATTATCATATGACTGACCTCTAGTCTTCTAAATTTGCAATAACTAATAATGAAGGAACACTGTTGCAGCCCTATTGGCCCATATTTACCAGGTCCTTTACAAATCCAGCCATTCCCTTGTGTGTACTTGTCCAGCCTATTCCTATAGTTACCCAAGAAGCTAGCTTCAGTAAACCTAATAACCAATCTTAGGCTGCTCCCAGTCAAATACAATCCTTCTCACTTACCATATATATATGTCTAACCTAACCTATTTTTTAAAGATTTATCTAGCTCTAGTTTGTTTGGTATTCCTCTTTAACTGCCTTCACAACAAAGATACCCAAGTGTTGTATGTGGGTCTTTTTCATCTACCTTTTGGTTTTGTAAGCAATTAAAATATGAAATGGTCAATGCCAGTTAAGTCCTTAAACTAAACTAATCTGCACACTGCCATAACAACAGACTGGAGTGAGAGATATGAGAGGAATGTAAAATAAACCCAGTGAGGAGCAGGGGTGTGGTAAGGACAATAAGGGAACACTATATAAACATCCAGGGTCCCAGACTATTCAACATCTTACCAGGAGATATCAGAAACATGGCTCAAACAAGTGTAGAAGCTTTCAAGAAGAAACTGGACAAGTATCTTCACCAGGTACCAGATCAACCAGGCTGTGATGGATATGCGAGGCAGTGGGCCTCCAGCAGCAAAAGCCTGGTTGACCAGGCAAGCGCCAGACAAGCCTGGTCCATGGCCGGGCTCCAAGAGTAGCGAAACTCTCGAAATGTATATTAAAGGAAAGCTACATAACCACCTGCAGGTTATGTAGTTCAACTAAGCTACATAACCACCTGTAGGTTATGTAGTCCAACTAAGCTATGTAACCACCTGCAGGGTGTGTGTAGTTCAACTAAGCTATGTAACCACCTGCAGGATGTGTAGCTCAACTAAGCTACTTAACTATCTGCAAGTTATGTAGTCCAACTAAGCAGGATTGTTTGTTTTGTTAGCTAATGCCACTCATGCATTTCACTATACAATTTTCCCGTAACTGTCATTAAGGAAGAATTTTATTGTGCCTTAAATTCCTTGTCCTCTTGGTTGTTGACATAGAAACATTTGAAGATGGTTATGCATCTAATGAGCAGAAGATAGCTCTGAGTTGCCTGCTTATGTTTTATCAGCTGATGAATGTGGGTTGTCTCTTGAGGTTAATAAGAGCCACTACAGCATATGCTGTATTGAGCCATAGTCAGCAACCAGCTTTCCTTAGACTGTGGTACTCTCCGAACAGTAATGTTTCAAAAATAGTTTTTACAATGCACACATTGTCAAAAACAGCATAATAATATTTACTGAAAAAAAATGTTAGCAATGCTCAACTGAAAATGTGCTATCAAAGCATGTGCTGAGATAATTTACTGAATATACTGCCCATCACACCCGGTTGGTATGCCAGACATACATTTACAACTAGATACAGCAGTAGAAAATATAATTATAACAACATACCAACTATCCAGTGGTGGTAATAGTTGAGGTTCATGGCTTTCTTAAGGTCACTAAGGTAATGCACTTGATCTTTATTGGAGGGGTCATAATTCTTGGTGCACACTGATACACACTTCTGAGAGTTCAAGAATTCAATCTGGAAAAAGAAAATAGAGATGTGGAATTCTGAATCCGACACTGAGACAAAAATACCAATGAGGATATACATAAACAGCAGCTAATATTGTTTGTAGAGCTAATTTATTACACCCATCACTTTTTTTTTTAACACACTGACCATCCTCCATTGAGTAGGGTGACCTGAATAACAGAAAATATATTCACCATCATTCATTCAATCACTGTCTTGCCAGAAGAGTGCTGAAATCACAGTTCAGGTGACCCTAAGAACTACAACCTTCCCCCTCCTCCAGAGAACAGGCAATGTACTTCCCACCTCCACCCATCTTTCAGAGCACAGGCACTGTACTTCCCACCACCATCCATCCTTCAGAGCATAGGCACTGTACTTCCCACCACCATCCATCCTTCAGAGCACAGGCACTGTACTTCCCACCACCATCCATCCTTCAGAGCACAGGCACTGTACTTCCCACCACCATCCATCCTTCAGAGCACAGGCACTGTACTTCCCACCTGCAGGACTCAAGTCTGGATAACCAGTTACCCTGAATCCCTGTGAAAACAGTTACCTGCTCATACTCCAACAGCACATTAAAACCATTTGTCTCCATGCACTCCTATCTAACTTATTCACACATGACTGTTGGGTTGTCTGAATAAATTGCTGTAATGCAGATAAGAAAGAATTATTAAAATTATACATAAAGAGGGAAGTACTGGCACTAAGCAAAATTAAAGGTGGAAGAATTGCAGTAGTGTGTGTAAATGAGGTTATATCAGCTAAATAAGGGGTAGGAGTAATACAAAATAATCAACTACGGAAGAAGAAAAGGGGGGAATAGGTGATGTGAGCGCACTTCTGGCAAGACAGTGATTGAATGAATGGTGAATGTGTTTTCCTCTTAGCATCCCCTGGCCTTGGCAGATGGATGTTGAGGTACAAAAAAAAAAAAAAATAGAAGCACAAATATTAGAAGATGGTGAGGGGTTACAAAATGTATAATCAAAGGGTAGAGGAGAAGGGTGTTGAGGTGGTTTGTGCACTTAGAAAGGTTGGAGCTAGGGAGGAGAGAATTCATACAGGTCATCCAACTGAAGGGTTGGAAGGAGAGAATAAAGAAGGTTTTGAGTGCTAAGGGCTTGAACATCTGACAGGCATGAGTAAGCATGTTAAATCAGAGTAAAGACAGGGGATTCTTAGGGTTCAACATGCTGTTAGAGTGCAAACAAGGTAACAGTTTAACGCTAAATTAGCAGTCACACAGAGCTAAGTCAGTAGAATCAGTGTTGGTCCCACAGACCTACACAATACATAGTATGTAATGTAGAGCTACTGAGCCATACAATGTGTGTGGTATGATATAATGTAAAAAATTCATGTACACTGCTTCAACATTCTCAGTGGCAGATACCATATAAACAAGATTTGGAATACATTCAAAAAACTTTTATACCCGATATGAACATGTATATTTTGCACACATTACTCCATGGCACAGACTCCTAAATTATACATTATTAATGTATTCTAATTAACCGTTTACCTGTTTATAAATGATGTACAATAGAGTACAGTACAATAAAGTACAGAACAAAGTGCAGCACAATGAAGTACAGTACAATAAAGTACATTAGGGCCCCTACTTAGAAACACATGAGCTATACCAATCTAAACATACAAACAAGGTCCAGAAGGTACTCTAATGAGTCACACTTTAGAGAAGAAACTTACGACAATGTTCTGATCTGTGTTGGATCATGACCAAGTCACAACTGTTGCCACTTGACAATCGTCCAGGAGAGACCAAAACATCATCAGGAGTTTAAGTTTAAGTGAGTTTTAGTACCGTGACTTTACTTTTTAAATTTTTTATTATTATCACACTGGCCGATTCCCACCAAGGCAGGGTGGCCCGAAAAAGAAAAACTTTCACCATCATTCACTCCATCACTGTCTTGCCAGAAGGGTGCTTTACACTACAGTTTTTAAACTGCAACATTAACAACCCTCCTTCAGAGTGCAGGCACTGTACTTCCCATCTCCAGGACTCAAGTCCGGCCTGCCGGTTTCCCTGAATCCCTTCATAAATGTTACTTTGCTCACACTCCAACAGCACGTCAAGTATTAAAAACCATTTGTCTCCATTCACTCCTATCAAACACGCTCATGCATGCCTGCTGGAAGTCCAAGCCCCTCGCACACAAAACCTCCTTTACCCCCTCCCTCCAACCTTTCCTAGGCCGACCCCTACCCCGCCTTCCTTCCACTACAGACTGATACACTCTTGAAGTCATTCTGTTTCGCTCCATTCTCTCTACATGTCCGAACCACCTCAACAACCCTTCCTCAGCCCTCTGGACAACAGTTTTGGTAATCCCGCACCTCCTCCTAACTTCCAAACTACGAATTCTCTGCATTATATTCACACCACACATTGCCCTCAGACATGACATCTCCACTGCCTCCAGCCTTCTCCTCGCTGCAACATTCATCACCCACGCTTCACACCCATATAAGAGCATTGGTAAAACTATACTCTCATACATTCCCCTCTTTGCCTCCAAGGACTTTTTAAATTGTACAAAAAAAAAAATAACTGCTTTATGAATGCTAATCTGCAGTTAAAAACACATGTAACAATCATCCTCTGAACTATCATTAGGATAAATAGTTCAGTTATAAATACAGTGGAACCTCGAGTTTCGGCTGTCCTGATTATTGGCCGCTTCGAGTTTCGACCACTTTTTTCGGCTAAATATTGTCCGAGTTTCGGCCTGTGCCCTGTGATTCGGCCGGTGTACCAGACCTGTCCGCCTGCCCGCGCAGGCATCGTGAGCCAGTCTAGCTTTATTTATCCTTGAGTGAACATTACCCTGCACACTCATCCAAACATTTCACAATAAATTCCTTGTGTTTAGTGCTTGTTTACTGATTGTGACTGTGAAATAAGCCACTATGGGCTCAAAGAAACTTCATAGTGGTAAAGAAAGTGTGAAATTCAATGGAAATGAAGGAAGAATTTGTAACAAAGTACCAATCATTGAATTGCCTTCAGCAATTCAATGATTTGTATGATACTAAAGCAGCACGAGTTGATAAAAGCTATAGCACCAGCCAGCAATAAAGTGTAGTATTAACAGTGTAGCAAGTAAGTTAAGCGATTAAGCGATAGAAAAATGACAACACAAAACTTAACTCCTTCATTGTTGTTCGAGGTATGTCGGAAGACTGAAAAGACCGCTGCCTGTCCTGCCTCTGCTGCTGCTTATGCTTATGCTCTCAGTAGCCCTTATACACCCAACAACAACACAACACCAGTCGTGACATGCGTAATGTATCTTATTCATTCTAGAGTAATATATCATGTTTCTATGTTATTAATATTGTTTATTATGTCATATTAGATTAATTGTGATAGATAAATAAGCCATAGTGTTGATATTAGTGTCATACTGAAAGACTATTTTGTCCTGCCTCCAAACAAACTCTCCTGCCTCTCTCATATGCCAAGAAGTATCTTCAATAAAGGTAAAACTGATTTAAATGTTAATTTATCCATTAAAATTAGTGCTTTATATTTATTTCTCATTGTTTTCTGTTTGTAAATCTATAGAATTTATTCTTTAAAAAAATTAATTATTTGTTAATCCATTCCACCCAAAAATATTTTTGGGTGGAATGGATTAACTGGATTTATATTATTTCTTATAGGAAATATTGCTTCGACTTTAGGCAGTTTTAACTTTGGGCCTAGCTCTTGGAACGGATTACGGCCGAAACTCAGGGTTCCACTAAGATCTACGCGAAGTGAAACACTGGAAATGCAATGTGTCCATGAGTTAAGAGCCTTACTGAACAGGGAAAAACATTATTAATCGTTCATTTATAAACCAAGGTTACTAGCAATGTTATATTTAAAGGTATTTTACACCAAGACTGCACAAAGTCATACATACGGTGCAACACTGTACATGAGGTACTCACCTTACAGGGAGAGGGTTGAATGTACTCTCCAATTATACACGAGGGACTCACCTTGTAGGGAGAGGGTTGAATGCGCTCTCCAAACATCACCTGTCCCAGGTTCTCAACAACTGTCTCACTGTTCTCCTCTGCTTTACAGAAGTCAAAACTGAGTAAGACAAAAATTAAACATTAACAATTGCAGTAGAATAGTATATATATTACATGTAGGATAAAAATATCATAATGAGAGAGAGAGAGAGGGGGGGGGGGACAGGAGGTGGTGCATTTCCTTCTTAAATCGCTTGACCAAGAGAAGGCTGTGGGCCCAGACAAGTTGAGCCCAAGATTGTTGAGAAGATGTGCAGACCAGCTAGCAGCACCTCTAACTCGCATCTTTCAGCACTGCCTAGTACAGTGTAAATGGCCCTCTCTATGGAAAGAGGCAAATGTAGTCCCTGCTCACAAAAAGAAGAGCAGAGCAGAAATCAGTAGCTACAGACCAGTGTCACTCTTGTCAATCACTGGTAAGATCCTTGAGACAATAATCTCAAGACAAATGACAGAGTTTTTTGACTACCACTCACTACTTTGTGATCGTCAATATGGCTTCAGGAAAGGTTACTCTGCTGCTGATCTGTTGTTAAACCTCTCCACTAAGTGGCACCAGTCACTGGATGAATCCAAAGTCAGCTGTGTGGTAGCACTGGACATTGCTGGTGCTTTCGACCGGGTGTGGCACCATGGCCTCTTAGCAAAACTTCAAGCACTGAGAATTGCAGGCTCTACGCTATGTCTCCTCAGTGATTACCTTCATGGTAGATCTCTAAGTGTAGTTCTCAATGGAATGGAATCAGCAAGACATCCTACTGGGGCAAGTGTTCCACAAGGAAGCGTGCTGGGTCCATTGTTATGGAATGTCTACTTCAACGACCTTCTTCATCTCATCCCAGAATCACATGCATACGCAGACGACTGTACACTGACATTCACTTATCCAAGAGAAGAAATGCCAGCTGCTCTAAGCTACATCAATCACCAGCTGAGAGCTATATCAGCTTGGGGAAATAGATGGCAAGTAACATTTGCACCTGAGAAAACGCAAATGATGATCGTCTCTAGGCACCATGATGGTAATGCTGGTGCAGTAGTAAGGATGAATGGGAGGATGTTGGCACCTGGAGAAGAAGTTGATATCCTTGGGGTGAAATTTGACTCCAAACTAACCATGAAGAACCATGTTGTAAATCTTGCAAACAAGGCAGCCAGGAAGCTTACAGCACTTCGCCGTATCTCCCATCTGCTTGACAGTAGGGGTTGCAAGATCCTGTACGAGGCACAAGTACGCTCACACCTTGAGTATGCTCCACTTTCTTGGTTTGCCTGGGAATCCTTAACCTATAAATAGCTTGTCAATAAAGCTAGGGATCCTTAACCTTGTCAAACCCTGTGTGAAAAAAAAAAGAGAAAGAGAAAGAAAGAGAGAGAGAGAGAAAGAGAAGGAGAGAAAGAGAGAGAAAGAGAGAGAGAGAGAGAGTCTGGAACACATTCGTACAGCATAATGATGTCAATGAAATAAAGTCAGTTGATCAAATGAAAATGCTGGCCCACAGATGGCTCCAACTTCATCCTGTTCCCTACTTGTATGTCTCATAACAATAAAAATGCTTTCAAATGAGCTGATGTAGGTAACAGCTCTTAGCTTGACAATAAAGTTAGGAATCCTTAACCTGTAAATAGCTTGTCAACAAAGCTAGGGATCCTTAACCTTGTCAAACCCTGCGTAAAAAAAAAAAAGACAGGTATGTATAATGTCACCATGGTTGTTTAATATATTTATAGATGGGGTTGTAAAAGAAGTAAATGCTAGTGTGTTGGGGAGAGGGGTGGGATTAAATTATGGGGAATCAAATACAAATGAGAATTGACACAGTTACTTTTTGTTGAGGAGGACAATGGAAGAAGTGAATGTTTTCAGATATGTGGGAGTTGACGTGTCAGTGGATGGATGTATGAAGGATGAGGTTAACCATAGAATTGATGAAGGAAAAAGGTGAGTGGTGCATTGAGGTATATGTGGAGACAAAAAACATTATCTATGGAGGAAAAGAAGGGAATGTACGAAAGTATAGTGGTACCAACACTATATGAGTGTGAAGCTTGAGTTGTAAATGCTGCAGCAAGGAGGCAGTTGGAGGTGGTAGAGATGTCCTGTCTAAGGGCAATGTGTGGTGTAAATATTATGCAGAGAATTCAGAGTGTGGAAATTAGAAGGTGTGGAGGTAATAAAAGTATTAGTCAGAGGGCAGAAGAGGGGTTGTTGAGGTGGTTTGGTCATTTAGAGAGTATGGATGAAAGTAGATTGACATGGAAAGTGTATAAATTTGTAGGGGAAGGAAGGTGGGGTAGGGGTCATCATCAAAAAGGTTGGAGGGAGGGGGTAAAGTAGGTTTTGTGGGCGAGGGGCTTGGACTACCAGCAAGCATGCGTGAGTGTGTTAGATAGGAGTGAATGGAGACATGGTATTTGGGACCTGACAAGTTGTTGGAGTGTGAGCAGGGTAATATTTAGTGAAGGGATTCAAGGAAACCGGTTATTTTTATATAGCTGGACTTGAGTACTGGAAATGGGAAGTACAATGCCTGCACTTTAAAGGAGGGGTTTGGGATAGTGGCAGTTCGGAGGGATATGTTATATACCTTTATATATGCCTCTAAACTGTTGTATTCTGAGCATCTCTGAAAAAAACGGTGATTGTGTGTGAGTGAGGTGAGTGTTGAATGATGATGAAAGTATTTTCTTCTTGGGTATTTTCTTTCTTTTTGGGTCACCCTGCCTCGGTGGGAGACGGCCGACTTGTTAACCCTTTCAGGGTCCAAGGCCCAAATCTGGAGTCACGCACCAGTGTCCAAGAATTTTCAAAAAAAAAATTTGTTATTTTTTCTTATGAAATCGTAGAGAATCTTTTTGTGAAGGTAATAAAACAAAAAGTACGAAATTTGGTGGAAAATTGACGAAATTATGCTCTCGCGAATTTTGAAGTGTCAGCGATATTTACGAATCGGCGATTTTGCCGACTTTGACTCCCATTTTAGGCCAATTACATTATTCCGATCAACCAAATTCTTAGCTATTTCACTAGTATTACTTCCATTCTATCGATTGAGCACAAGAAATCGCCAAGTCAACTGTTTCAACTACAAAATAAAGTGATCAGAAATTGTTAATTTGGCCAATTTAACACAAAGTTCAAAATATTCCAATTTCAAAATAGGGTCCAGAATGAACAATGTAGGCATTCCTGGCACTAAACTAACATTTCCTCTCTTCATTAGTTATGTTTTGAGGCTTTACAAATAAATTCCATTTTGATTTTTTATTCACATAATGAATTTTTATTCACACCAAAAAATAGAAGATTTACCGTTATGCAATACTGTAATAATTGAATATCATCACCATATTTGTGAATGTATATTAGACCCACCAGCTGACGTGTATTAGACGTGTGAGGTCGTTTGTTTACTCTTGAATATCGGCAAAAATTTAACATTTCCGCTACTTTGAGCTCAGTTTCAAGCCATTTCCAGTGCTAAAACCAATCAAAATCATCTCTATTTCTGTAATATGTCTTCCATTCTATCAAATGAGACCAAGAAATCGCAATACAGCTATAAAAAACATACGAAAAAACACTGCAAAGTTGCTATTTTAATCGAAAAATCATGATTTCATTTTTTTTCTCTCATTATACACAGTGTGCTGCCAGGATCTGTTTTATGTGGTGCACACATACCACATAGATGTATTCTCTCATATCTAGGCCCAAATGTACCACTCACAGTTTATCAGAGTGAGCTGAGCTCATGGCGTAGATCTACGGTTTGGACCCTGAACGTAAAGCCGTAGATCTACGGGACGGACCCTGAAAGGGTTAAAAAAAATTATATTATAATATATTATATATATATATATTATATATATATATATATATATATATATATATAATATATATATATATGTTAAAAGCAGGTGGGGATATAGTTTTGGAGTGGTTGGTGCAATTATTTAATAAATGTATGGAAGAGGGTAAGGTACCTAGGGATTGGCAGAGAGCATGCATAGTTCCTTTGTATAAAGGCAAAGGGGATAAAGAGAGTGCAAAATTATAGGGGGATAAGTCTGCTGAGTATACCTGGTAAAGTGTATGGTAGAGTTATTATTGAAAGAATTAAGAGTAAGATGGAGAATAGGATAGCAGATGAACAAGGAGGCTTTAGGAAAGGTAGGGGGTGTGTGGACCGGTGTTTACAGTGAAACATATAAGTGAACAGTATTTAGATAAGGCTAAAGAGGTCTTTGTGGCATTTATGGATTTGGAAAAGGCGTATGAACAGGGTGGATAGGGGGGCAATGTGGCAGATGTTGCAAGTGTATGGTGTAGGAGGTAGGTTACTGAAATCAGTGAAGAGTTTTTTATGAGGATAGTGAGGCTCAAGTTAGAGTATGTAGGAAAGAGGGAAATTATTTCCCAGTAAAAGTAGGCCTTAGACAAGGATGTGTGATGTCACCGTGGTTGTTTAATATATTTATAGATGGGGTTGTAAGAGAAGTAAATGCGAGGGTCTTGGCAAGAGGCCTGGAGTTTAAAAGATAAAGAATCACACACAAAGTGGAGTTGTCACAGCTGCTCTTTGCTGATGACACTGTGCTCTTGGGAGATTCTGAAGAGAAGTTGCAGAGATTGGTGGATGAATTTGGTAGGGTGTGCAAAAGAAGAAAATTAAAGGTGAATACAGGAAAGAGTAAGGTTATGAGGATAACAAAAAGATTAGGTGATGAAAGATTGAATATCAGATTGGAGGGAGAGAGTATGGAGGAGGTGAATGTATTCAGATTTTGGGAGTGGGGCGTGTCAGTGGATGGGTCTATGAAAGATGAGGTGAATCATAGAATTGATGAGGGGGAAAAAAGTGAGTGGTGCACTTAGGAATCTGTGGAGACAAAGAACTTTGTCCTTGGAGGCAAAGAGGGGAATGTATGAGAGTATAGTTTTACCAACGCTCTTATATGGGTGTGAAGCATGGGTGATGAATGTTGCAGCGAGGAGAAGGCTGGAGGCAGTGGAGATGTCATGTCTGAGAGCAATGTGTGGTGTGAATATAATGCAGAGAATTCGTAGTTTGGAAGTTAGGAGGAGGTGCGGGATTACCAAAACTGTTGTCCAGAGGGCTGAGGAAGGGTTGTTGAGGTGGTTCGGACATGTAGAGAGAATGGAGCGAAACAGAATGACTTCAAGAGTGTATCAGTCTGTAATGGAAGGAAGACGGGGTAGGGGTCGGCCTAGGAAAGGTTGGAGAGAGGGGGTAAAGGAGGTTTTGTGTGCGAGGGGCTTGGACTTCCAGCAGGCATGCGTGAGCGTGTTTGATAGGAGTGAATGGAGACAAATGGTTTTTAATACTTGACGTGCTGTTGGAGTGTGAGCAAAGTAACATTTATGAAGGGGTTCAGGGAAACCAGCAGGCCGGACTTGAGTCCTGGAGATGGGAGGTACAGTGCCTGCACTCTGAAGGAGGGGTGTTAATGTTGCAGTTTAAAAACTGTAGTGTAAAGCACCCTTCTGGCAAGACAGTGATGGAGTGAATGATGGTGAAAGTTTTTCTTTTTCGGGCCACCCTGCCTTGGTGGGAATCGGCCAGTGTGATAACAAAATAAAAATAAATATATATATATATATATTTTATATATATATATATATATATAATATATATATATATATATATATATATATATATATATATATATATATATATATATTGATTGATTGATTGGGAGATGTTTAGTGAGTGTTTAGGAAGTTTTGCACCAAGTGAGATAGTAAGTGTGCTAGGGAACCTGAATGCCAAAGTGGTAGGCAAGTTTGGGGTGCTAGGGGTAAATGATAATAGGGGGGCCTTTGAACTTTGTACAGAAAGAGGTTTGGTAATAGATAATACATATTTCAAGAAAAAACAGGATAAATATGTATAAAAGATATGACAGAGGGTATAATGGCAGTAGTTTGTTAGACTATTTATAAGTAGATAAAAGGTTGATGGGTAGACTTCAGATGTGCATATTTACTAAGGGGCAACTTGTATATCATTTTTTAGTTGTTGCTACAATAAGACTAAAATGTAGATTGGGTACAAGGAGAATGGTAATCAGAAATTAAGAGAGGTTTTTATAAACTAAAGGAGGATGTGATTAGGGTAGATATAAGTAACTATTGGTAGAAAGACAGGCTAGTGAGAGTATAGGCAATGAGGTTGAAGAGGTATGGGGCAGATTTAAGAATGCAGTGTTAGAATGTTCAGCAGAAGTTTGTGGATATAGGAGAGTGGGTACAGGAGGAAAGAGGAGCGATTGGTGGAGAGAGTAAGAGAGTAGTAAGAGAAAGAAAGTATGATTATGAGAGGTTTTTTCGAAGTAGAAGTGATATAAGGAGGGAGGAGTATATGGAGAGAAAAAGAGAGGTTAAGAGAGTAGTGAAGGAGAGCAAATGAGTGGGTGAAATGCTGTCAACAAATTTTGCCAAGAACAAAAAGTTGAAGAGAATATTGCTAACAACATATTATTTAGGTAGAAGTCACCCTATGTACTTGCACGCTGACAGGGCTGCTGGTGTGATGATTTAATGTAAATCAGATATCAAAGATGGCTCTCATCTTAAAACAGTGGTTACAAGCACTGAGATACTCTTACATTAGTCAAGGGCAGGAAAGTGAATCAGACAACATTTAAATATCATTAAACATAAAACAGGCTTGTGTGAGCATGTTAAATAGGGGTGAGTAGAAGCAAATGCTTTTTATAATTTGACATCAGTGTGTGAGCAAGGCAACATCTATGAAGGGATTCAGGGAAGTAACTAGCTAGCCAAACTTGAGGCATGGAGGTGCTAGTACAATGCATGCATTCTAAAAGGGGGTAGGGATGTGGCATTTTGGAGGTTAGGTTAAGTTGGTGATCCCTAGCTACTTACATATTTTGCATAGCAACAAGAGTAGACTATTATATAAGAAAATAAAAACTGCCTCTGGGAGAACATACATTGTATAAACGATGCACTGTACTTACTGGTCATACTCATAAGGAATGACTGACTCTTCGGAGTTAAGACGATTAACGTAAAGTGGCACATTTGACTGAAAAGAAAGATGTAATACTGTAGTATAATACATTATAGTTATTATATATCAGATATTATCTGCACAAATATTGTGCTTGAAACATGCAAACTGCATTGTTATGTAACAGTTTTCCTTTCTGCTTTATTTCCTAGTAATGCTGTATCTACTCTACAGAACCATAATTAAAAATGCCTGTGCAAATTCACCCTTCACTGTCTTTGATGACGAGCTACATTATTGAAGCCGGTGTCACTGAAATAAATCTACTTGTAAAGTCTAGCAACTTCAAATTCGGCACACATGGTTTGGTAGGTCAAGGCATGAGAACAGGTTGGTGCAATCAGTGTGCACTAATACAAAAAAATTATGGCTGCTGAAATTCATCATGGGAATGCTATATTAGTTTACTACTGACCTCCATGCCATGCTGATGAAATAATCTCACTCCTTGGCTAGTTACACTCCTATATTTCGAATATTATATTATGAATATAACTAATACTGTATGCCATAAAATTTTTACAATGATTCATTCATTAGTTTATAGTCTAGGCTATCATAAAGCAATCGTATCGATTACACTAAGCTGCCATAAAGCAATCATGCTGTAGCTTCATTATCAATGCATGAACCATTATATACCTGTAAATAAATATGAATTTCTTTTTCACATTATCTTTTCATTTTTGATGTCTAGTATTAGTAATACATATAACATTTACAGCATTTTATATAAGACAGTGATTCCCAAAGTGGGCAGTACTGGCCTTCCTGGGGGCAGTGGAAAGATCTGTGGAAGAATTTGCAGTCAGCCTAATACCAAGAAAGAGGTGTGTTTGTAAGTGTGTGTGGGGGGGGGGGGGAGGTTGCTAGGGATGTGGTCAGGGAGCCAAGGGGAAGGTAGCCTGAAAAAGTTTGATAACCACTGATATAAGACAATATTGATGTAGGTACTGACAAACAGATGATTCATCTTGTAAACAGATCATGTAAACTTGCATCATTTGTTTACAAGATGAAAATACATTTAGAGTACATCACTGTAAATGTATTTTCTCTTCCATATGATTTTCTTAATATTTTCTTTTCTCTAGCTTACCTAAGTGTAAGAATAGAGAATATAATACATATTACACAAAATATGTACAGTATTATATAGGTAGTAGGCTGGTAGACAGCAACCGCCAAGGGAGGTACTACCATCCTGCCAAGTGAGTGTAAAACAAAAGCCTGCAATTGTTTTACATGATGGTAGGATTGCTGGTGTCCTTTTTTCTGTCTTATGAACATGCAAGATTTCAGGTATGTCTTGCTACTTCTACTTACACTTAGGTCACACTACACATACATGTACAGTGGACCCCCGCATAACGATTACCTCCGAATGCGACCAATTATGTAAGTGTATTTGTGTAAGTGCGTTTGTACGTGTATGTTTGGGGGTCTGAAATGGACTAATCTACTTCACAATATTCCTTATGGGAATAAATTCGGTCAGTACTGGCACCTGAACATACTTATGGAGTGAAAAAATATCGTTAACCGGGGGTCAACTGTACAAGCACATATATACACACCCCTCTGGGTTTTCTTCTATTTTCTTTCTGGTTCTTATTCTTGTTTATTTCCTCTTATCTCCATGGAAAGTGGAACAGAATTCTTCCTCCGTAAGCCATGCGTGTTGTAAGAGGCGACTAAAATGCTGGGAGCAAGGGGCTAGTAACCTCTTCTCCTGTATATATTACTAAATATAAAAAGAGAAAGTTTCGTTTTTCCTTTTGGGCCACCACGCTTCAGTGGGATACGGCCGGTGTGTTGAAAGAAAGAATGTACAGTATTAATCAATTGTTTATGTTATTGGTAAAGCTTCAGCCCAACAGTAAGTAACATATCAGCAGTTAAATTTTTAGGGAGTCAAAAGTTGTATGCAGATTTTTGACTGTGCAGGAGGTCAGCGCCCTTAATCCCTGTGTTGTTCAAGGGTCCACTGTACATATATATGTATGTTTATGAAGCAACATTAAGTGAAATGTATGGAGTACCCCATACATCAATGGCAGCTCAGCAGTTGTTTGACAGTGTCTCAGACTGTAACATCATAGATACCGACAAATTGTAGATAAACAAAATTTAATGGACCCAGATTTAATGAACAAAGTCTGTGCCCAGACAATATTCAGAAGCAACAGATGAAGTCTGATAAATCCAGAATTATCCAATATTCTTACAGTTCACTCAATACCTGTTCATTCTGCTGGCTGAATTCATTTCAGATTTAACAGACTAAGTCCTTTAAGTCTATAAATTGTCTGCTATTGTTAGGATCATGGACAATCTCATAATTCAGATTTAATGAACAATCAGGTTTAAAGGACACCCCCTTCTTCTCCACTATTAGTTTGTGAAATATAGGGTTCACTATAGTAGTGCACAAATTGGGAACATTATTTAAACATTGTTTTGCCTGAACAAGGCTCAACCCAGGGCAGGTTGAGACTCAGGGGTGTCCCCCGTCACACCTGGGGGTGTCCCCCATCACACCCGGGGTGCCCCCCGTCACACCCGAGTGTTTCCCCCGTCACACCCAGGGTGTCCCCCATCACACCCGGGTGTGTCCCCCGTCACACCCAGGTGTGTCCCCTGCCACACCCAGGTGTGTCCTCTGCCACACCCAGGTGTGTCCTCTGCCACACCCAGGTGTGTCCCCCATCACACCCAGGTGTGTCCCCTGTCATACCCAGGTGTGTCCCCCGTCACACCCAGGTGTGTCCCCCATCACACCCAGGTGTGTCCCCCGTCACACCCAGGTGTGTCCCCCGTCACACCCAGGTGTGTCCCCCGTCATACCCAGGCGTGTTTCCCAAGACTTTCTGCCACATAATACGTGCCTTGAGGCTCAGTGGTTGCACCTTAGGCTCACAACCAAGGAACCCAGGTACAACCCAGGGTCGAGTGGAAAAGCTTGGAGTATTTACTTACATCAATTCCTACACAAGAGGTGCCTTGCTGCAGAGAATTAAAACTACCCTCCCTTTCCTTGAATCAAACCCAATCGTCTTGTATTCCCCTGGAAAAGGTGACTGATTGCTACCAACATAGGGACCTCAACATGAATGTAATAAAAATAATTAAATAATCAAATGAGAAATTATTAATGAGGATTAATTGAACTCTAAGAAACTATAGTGTAGAAAGAATAAGATGGCACAATACCATGAGTAAAACAATACACAAATAACCCACACATAGACAAATTTATATGTAATAACGTTTTGGTCAAAAACATTATTGCAAGTTTCAGTCTTGTATGTGCTTTTTATTAGTGTATTATTTGGATTATCCTAGGTTAATAGTCCTCCAAGTTAATAACCCTTCAGGGTAATAACCCTCCAGGTTATTATGAATATTAAGGCTTTATAATGCATAAATTCCTATAAAATATACCCATGGTGCCAGACCATCAACCCTGATGCCACACCACCAACCTTGGTGCCACACTATCAACCCTGATGCCACAACAACCCTGATGCCACAACAACCCTGATGCCACAACAACCCTAGTGCCACACCAACCCTGGTGCCACACCATCAACCCTAGTGCCACACCATCAACCCTAGTGCCACACCATCAACCCTAGTGCCACACCATCAACCCTAGTGCCACACCAACAATGGTGCCACACTATCAACCCTAGTGCCACACCAACAATGGTGCCACACCATCAACCCTAGTACCACACCATCAACCCTGGTGCCACACCATCAACCCTGGTGCCACACCATCAACCCTGGTGCCACACCATCAACCCTGGTGCCACACCATCAACCCCGGTGCCACACCAACCCTAGTGCCACACCATCAACCCTGGTGCCACACCATCAACCCTGGTGCCACACCATCAACCCTGGTGCCACACCATCAACCCTGGTGCCACACCATCAACCCTAGTGCCACACCATCAACCCTAGTGCCACACCAACCCTAGTGCCACACCATCAACCCTGGTGCCACACCATCAACCCTAGTGCCACACCATACCTAGTGCACCCTCAACTAGTGCCACACCATCAACCCTAGTGCCACACCATCAACCCTGGTGCCACACCATCAACCTAGTGCCACACCATCAACCCTAGTGCACACCACCTAGTACCACACCTTCAACCGTGCCACACATAACCCTGGTGCCACACCATCAACCCTAGTGCCACACCATCAACCCTAGTGCCACACCATCAACCCTAGTACCGCACCATCAACCCTGGTGCCACACCATCAACCCTAGTGCCACACCATCAATCCTAGTGCCACACCATCAACCCTAGTGCCACACCATCAACCCTAGTACCACACCATCAACCCTGGTGCCACACCATCAACCTTAGTACCACACCATCAACCCTGGTACCACACCATCAACCATGGGGCCACACCATCAACCCTGGTGCCACACCATCAACCCTGGTGCCACACCATCAACCCTAGTGCCACACCATCAACCCTAGTGCCACACCAACCCTAGTGTCACACCATCAACCCTAGTACCACACCATCAACCCTGGTGCCACACCATCAACCCTAGTGCCACACCATCAACCCTAGTGCCACACCATCAACCCTAGTGCCACACCATCAGCCCTAGTGCCACACCATCAACCCTAGTACCACACCATCAACCCTAGTGCCACACCATCAACCCTAGTGCCACACCATCAACCCTAGTACCACACCATCAACCCTAGTGCCACACCATCAACCCTAGTGCCACACCATCAACCCTGGTGCCACACCATCAACCCTGGTGCCACACCATCAACCCTAGTGCCACACCATCAACCCTAGTGCCACACCATCAACCCTAGTACCACACCATCAACCCTAGTGCCACACCATCAACCCTAGTGCCACACCATCAGCCCTAGTGCCACACCATCAACCCTAGTGCCACACCATCAACCCTAGTACCACACCATCAACCCTAGTGCCACATCATCAACCCTAGTACCACACCATCAACCCTAGTGCCACACCATCAACCCTAGTACCACACCATCAACCCTGGTGCCACACCATCAACCCTAGTGCCACACCATCAACCCTGGTGCCACACCATCAACCCTAGTACCACACCATCAACCCTAGTGCCACACCATCAACCCTAGTGCCACACCATCAACCCTGGTGCCACACCATCAACTCTTGTGCCACACCAACAATGGTGCCACACTCAACCCTAGTGCTACACCAACCCTAGTGCCACACCATCAACCCTAGTACCACACCATCAACCCTGGTGCCACACCATCAACCTAGTACCACCATCAACCCTGGTCCACACCATAACCATGGGGCCACACTCAACCCTGTGCCACCATCAACCCTGGTGCCACACCATCAACCTAGTGCCACACCATCACCCTAGTGCCACCCAACCCTAGTGTCACACCATCAACCCTAGTACCACCCATCAACACCTGGTGCCACACCATCAACCCTAGTGCCACACCATCAACCCTAGTGCCACACCCATCAACCCTAGTGCCACACCATCAGCCCTAGTGCCACCCTCAACCTAGTACCACACCATCACCTAGTGCCACACCATCAACCCTAGTGCCACACCATCAACCCTAGTTCCACACCATCAACCTTAGTGCCACACATCACCCTAGTGCACACCATCAACCCTGGTGCCACACATCAACCCTGGTGCCACCATCAACCCTAGTGCCACACCATCAACCCTTAGTGCCACACCATCAACCCTGGTACCACACCATCAACCCTTGTGGCCACACCATCAACCCTAGTGCCACACCATCAGCCTAGTGCCACACCTCATACCCTAGTGCCACACATCAACCTAGTCCACATCCATACCCTAGTGCCACATCATCAACCCTAGTACCACACCATCAACCCTAGTGCCACACCATCAACCCTAGTACCACACCATCAACCCTAGTACCACACCATCAACCCTGGTGCCACACCATCAACCCTAGTGCCACACCATCAACCCTGGTGCCACACCATCAACCCTAGTACCACACCATCAACCCTAGTGCCACACCATCAACCCTAGTGCCACACCATCAACCCTGGTGCCACACCATCAACTCTTGTGCCACACCAACAATGGTGCCACACTCAACCCTAGTGCTACACCAACCCTAGTGCCACACCATCAACCCTAGTACCACACCATCAACCCTGGTACCTGCTGCACCCCCAGACCTCCTCTACAGCTTGGCACTAACCTGGCACTTAGCCTCCTCGTCGTTGCCCTTCTTACAGTAGTTGACTGGTGCCAGGCCGGGCAGGTAGAAGCACTGCACCACAACCACCACTAAACACAAGAGTGTCGCCCTCAGCATGTCTCTAGTGCTGCTGGTACCTCTAGAGTGCCTCACTCCACGATGGTAGTGCCTCACAGGGTGTGTGAGAGAGCCAGGGCAGCTAGAGGGTCAGTAATAAGAGAGAGACAGTGTTGTGTTATCACTGACACGTCCACTGAGGCAGCCTGGGTAACAGTGTTGCCACAACCACACCTTACCGCAACACTCTTATTTACACCTCTCATCTCATTAAAAAAAATACAAGTGCATTGATCTCCTCCCTTCATCCTCTGTGTCAAAGTCTTTTTCACTACTTGCCATGTGTGTATATTTTTTTTTACCCTCTAAAACTGGCAAAAACAATGTTTGTTCAATATCAACAAGTTTGGCAATACTACGAGGAAAGCATATACGCAACGTAGACTGTTTGTTCGTATGACTCGTTGATGGTTTTGTCTTCATCCTTAATTTTCAGCTAACTCTATGCACTTCTATAACAATCCAATACACTTATAATTAAAATTGAGCCTTATATATTTTTATACAATTCAAAAATCTTGCTAACGTTGCCAAAACTCACTAATATATCGTCTGCAACATCCAGGTCGTAGGTTTAGAACACTCTACACGTTAACAACTTGGCCTAGGAAGAGTCAGGCGATCCTCTCTCGCTCTTTTCCCTTACTTCGGCTCTTGATCCAGTGGATTGGAGCTACTCTCCTCTTCCTCGGATCATGCATAATTACCTCATTCTCCAGGCGTTATATAACCCTGTTAGTTTAATGCTTCCCAGTAAAAAGAAAAAAATGTCTCGCTCTTTCTATTACAATGTATGTGTCAGACTGTTGCTTAATAATATATCTGACAGCAACTTCATAATATATCTAACATCAACTCGGTGTCCCATGGCCTGGTAGGCAAAGCTCTTGCCTACCGGCAAGGGCGAAAACATCGGTCGTGTTTCCTTACCCTGGTTGTCCCGTTCACCCAGCAAGCAGGTTTAGGTACCTGGGTGTTAGTCGACTGGTGTGGGTCGCATCCTGGGGTACAAGATTTAAAAAGACCACAAAGTCACACTAACAAAAAGGAAAACTCGAGGAAATAAAAACTGGATTGGAGTATAAAACAAATTCTAACCACACACAATAGAGCGAAAATCTAATGTAAAGGACCTGGGAGTGATAATGTCAGGGAATCTCACTTTCAACGATCACAATTTCTCAACCACATCTGCTAAGAAATGATAACTTGGATAGTGAGAACCTTCAAAACTAGGGATGCCAAACCATTGATAATTCTCTTCAAATCGCTTGTTCTCTTCATGCTGGAATATTGCTGAACACTAACAAGGCAGGCGAAATTGCAGACCTGGAGAATATACAGAGAACTTTCACTGCACGTATAAGTACAATACAGCACCTAAATTACTGGGAATGGTTGAAGTCTCGTAACCTGTACCCCTTGGAACGCAGGCGATAAAGATACATGATACCTGGAAAATCCTAGAGGAACTAGTCCCAAATCTGCACACGGAATCACTCTCTTCGAAAGGCGGTGAAACATCATCCAGTGAAACGCAGGGGCGCCATTACTACGCTAAGAGACAACACGGCTGTCTTCAAGAGGGTGCCGGACAGACACCTAAAGTCAGTTCTCGGCCAACCAGGCTGTGGTTCGTGTGTCGGTTTTGCGTGAGGCCGGCAGGAACAGCCTGGTTGATCAGTCCCTAATCCACCGCGAGGCCTGGTCATGGACCGAGCCGCAGGGGCGTTGATCCCCGGCTCCGTTCCTGAGTCTTCTGTATATTCCAAGCATTCAGAAGCCCTAGGAACGGATCCGACACTCTTACTGTCAAACAATAAGGAGTCACAATATCGTGAATGGAATAATACACAAATAACCCGACTTGAACCATTAACTAGCCACACTAATTGTGCCACTAGATAACGTCCCAAGTCTGACCGAAACGTCGTCATAAATTTCAGTCTCCTATGTGCAGGTTATTTGTGTACTGCTGTCTCGCTTTCACAGCAGACACAACCCAGTCAAAGTTTCCCGTCATAGGTCACAGACCGGGCCGCGGGGGCGTTGACCCCCGGAACTCTCTCCAGGTAAACTCCAGGTAATAGTTGCAATATGAAGCCAAACTGAGTTTTAAAATCACTTTAGCAGAAGACACAGAAAAAACTGCATATAGATATTAAGGAAGTGTTTCAGTGGGCAAGACTGTCATCCTCACCAACAGTACGGTGGCTAATGATACAGTTCCTTCTGTAAAGTTATTTGGCAATAAAAGACGTAAGCACGTATTAGAAACAGTGAATAATGAAACGTTTCGACACTAGAAGGTCGTCAGTTTTAATACAGTCGGCAAGAAAAATTTAGAAAATATATAATGCTATTACTTAGGTAAATAAGGACGTACACTGAATAATGAATATCAAAATGGCATACAGTACCGACAGGATGATAGGTAAGACACATGGGCAACTGCTGTCCATGTGTCTTACCTGCCATCCTGTCGGTATTGTATACCATTTTGATATTCACTCTGTCAGACACTGCAACACAATGGTATCTTGGTACAGAAAATACCTTGGACAACTTTTTCAAGTGAGAACTGTTGGATCCGAGAAGGGCGTGCCCTCTCAGTGACTACATTCTCTCTTCTACAACCCTGCACCTCTCCTTCCGACAGTATATAAGTCTCCACACTGTCTCTTGTAAGTAAGTAAGTAAGTAAGTAAATTTATTCAGGTATACACAATACAGTTACATAGAATTATCATACATAGCAGCATATGTGTAGAGAACCTAGGATAATCCAAAAAAGTCAGACAGAGTGACTTATTTCCATTGGGGTCCTTACTTATTTCCATTGGGGTCTTTACTTATTTCCATTGGGGTCTCTTCAGACTGCTTCAAACTATGGAACAAAACTCTTCTCCAGGCTGAGGGACTGACAATTTTAAATCTACGACTTTAAGGGTGATGGACTGATTATATCGTCTTCACATCTCTACTGCTCCTGCCTATTTCCTGTACTCGACTGAAGAAGCCTACTGTGTAGGGAAAACGTTTCGGAATAAAGTTGCCTAACTGTTGTCCATGTGTCTTACCTATCACACTGAATAATACATGAAATGAGCCAGTTGTAGTGCCTTTAAAATTAGTTAACTACTGCCTCAAGCAGCTTCTCTTATAATGCTTCAATTTTTCCATTGCTCACCCGGTTCCTTGTACTATAACTCGACTCACGAAATCGTAATGACACGATTGCAAACAAACCATACCACGGGCGGGGATAGAGCCCCGCCCGTGGTATGGTTTGCCTTGTACTATATATATTAGTTGTTCCAGCTGATCGTGAAACAGGATCGAAGAAGTCACGCATGGAGAAATGTTTACTTGTCTTGCTGTGTACACAGGTATCTCTTGTTACCATATCAGCTGAACCACTCTCAGAGTAGCTGTTATTACCACCACTATCACCATCAAGGTGGATGCAAAAAAATATATATGGGAGAGGCAACTGGAGACATACACGGCCGTGCCGTGTACGTATATATATTCCTGTTGTGCTGACAAGAATACACACGACCGCCTGATGAAGTGGTACCATCAAGGAATTGTTTAGAATCTTGTGTCATTCAGTCTCATGCTGAACGCCGTCAGGACACTGCTCTTAGGTGGTCATAAATAATTTTGATGAACCTCACCTACGCTACAACTGACCTCCACTGATATTTGTGTGTTAAGTTGTCTTGAAGGTTAAACATATCCAGTTGACTGGGATCTATGATCAATATGTCATCAACAGAGGTAATGTGAGCTACGATCAATGATGATGTTTCAACATTCCGTATTCACTGGTTCATTGAAGACATTGGTCAGTGGGATGGTGCACCCTTCTTAGTTGTGTCGTATGTTTGTAATAAATATCCTCGTATGTAAAGTAGTTGAAGCTGATGAACAAGTCAACTCAGAGAAACTGGTGCCACGAAGATAAATCTTGGTCGTTGTTGATTATCTGTGTGAAACATCAATGACCTGTTCACAGCTGCTAGTGTAGTGGATAAGTAAACAATGTTAATGATGGATAATTTCAAGATGGATATGCTGGCATGTTAAGGCGTGATAGTAGATCCCTGAATGTTCAAGTGTGACTTACTGATTGTACCTATAAGTTTTGATAGGTGTTAAGCCAGTGGGTTTGTCTAGGCCACTACCAAAACCTGAAGTGATGGGTCGCAACGAGTTTGTGAAATTTGGGCAAATCCTGCATGTTGTCAGGTTGTGGGTTGGTTGGGCCCAAATGGAGGTGCTGTCCTGGGAGACAGTAATGGTGAAGCTGGAGATTTTGTCCAGGTAGTCGGGAATTATACGCAGGAAGGAATACATATAAATGACCTCATAGGGGACAGGAGCCATAGTGGGGAAACAAGTGTAGTCAAAGATAAGATAAAACTAATATTGCAAACTAGAAATACCACAGGAAATAGCAAACAAGAGGACTCCACTAGCAATAGTGAGAATATATTACCAAAAACAACTGGTGGGAGCTCCATTGTTGGTGCTAGGGAGGATAGGAATAAGACAGGGAAACATGCACCAAAAGGGAATACAGTCACAGAAACCCAAGGCAAACGGAAACCAAGCCTGTGCACATGCTATGCACTTGGTATCTGCAGACATGGGAAATCTGGAAAAACAGACGGGACGTGCAACTATGACCACCCTAGAAAATGCCATGCCCATATGACAACAGGAAAATGCAAACTCCCTTCCTGTAAGGTTTTTCACCCTGAAATGTGTACCTCTTCAGTACAGGAAAGACTGTGCTATAACTTAAATTGCCAGGCAACTACCATCTAAAGGGGACAAAAAGATACAAAACATCCAGGCCATGGGAAAACCTGGGTAGCCACAGCCACTCAAGAGGGAGAGGTTTTTTAGTGCCAAGAAGGAAAAAAAACTGGCAGGAAATGGCAGAAATCGTACACCAAATCCAGTCATTCCTGGAGTGGAACCACAGTCGATGGCCTCCACTCCAAACAACAGATACAGATACTAATGCCGGAAAAAAAATATCCCCCCCCCCAGTACCAACAATACCACCAGTCCGATGACATTCTTCTTTGCAAATATACAGGGTCTAAAGCCAGCAACAAACAACAAATACCTTTCATCCGTGGACTGCTTGCAGAGGC